AAACTTACTCCTGCTCAGGGCGAGGTGTAAACATTTAGTAACTATTAAGAAGCTCAACATTAAAACTAGTCTTTGTGGTGCAACTCATTCTGATTTAGTAAAGCATAAACCTGAACTTTGTAAACACTATTATTACAACTAGTCTATGTCAATTAAAGAAAAGCACATCAATAAAAAAAGACATCAAAATAAAACAATAAACAAGGTCTTAATGAGCTCGAGATCAGCTGTATTATAATAATGTAAAACACTACAATGCTGTTTAGTCAGTTATAACAAGCTGACCACTGCATTGTTTTTGTTAAGCAACAGTGAAATCCTGACTTATAAAGTGCTACTGAGTCCTCAGTAGCACTTTATATATATATATATATATATATATATATATATATATATATATATATATATATATATAGTAGACAAACTGGAAAATACCTAGCTGGAACAGGCAGATGCTGGCCTTCACTGTTCCAGAGGGCAGTTTTGTGCAGTGTTGAACAGATAAACTTTCTATGTAGGGGTGGACAATATGATGATATACACTGATCAGCCACTTTATTAAGTACACCTACCTTGTATCTACAGTCATTGTCCATTGTATCAGGTCCTCTGACCAAATAGGAGCACTTTGTAGTTCTACAATCACAGACTGTAGTCCATCTTTTGCTCTTCATACCTTGTTAGCCTCTTTGCACCGTGTTCTTCAATGGTCAGGACCCCCAAAGGACCACCACTGACCAGGTATTATTTTTTCAGTTATTTATTTGCAGTGACACTGACATGGTGGTGATGTTAATGAACAGGGTGAAAGGGGGCTAACAAAGTATGGAGATAAACAGTTAGAGTCTGTAATAGTAGAGCTACAAAGTGCACCTATACAGCAAGTGGAGCTGATAAAATGGACGATGAGTCTAGTTACAAGGAGGTTTGCTTAATGAAGTGTCCAATCAGCGTATTGTCACTGTTGTGATAAATGACATCACAATATACTTTTCAGAGTATGATGTGGGTATTGTCAGAGCTTCTAGTACACCAAACAACTGCATGTCTCATAAAAAGACAGAGCCAGAAAACAACAAGTGTCGTATAGTCAGGTGAATTTTTATGGCAGAGTCCGATCTTTAAAATGTTATCTAAATAACATTAATCATATAAAGTTCTACACTGAAAGTGAGAGGCAACTGACTATTTACAATGAATTATGCATTAATTATGCTATGACATTTTACAGGTGTTGCAGCAGTGTTCAAATACCATGTGAGTGCACTTACCTGCCTCACATTACTTACACCATAAAACTGTGACAGGGATCAGCCAAAATCAATGCAATGAACTGTCCAATCTGTCGATTCTCAAATGCATCCGTGAAGTATAGTATTGGACATCAGTCCATTATGACATTATCTCATTTACATATTTTATTTTAAACATTTGTTTGATCTAATATCTTCAGTTTACTTTGACAGCTTTAGTTTATAAAATGAAAATGAATAACATTTTGGGAAAGAAATATGTCCTCAGTTTTTTCCATTTCATCCATTTACACTACCATGTCACTACAGTCAGTCTGGGAGACAAATGCTGGGAAGCCATTTGTTGCCTGGCAAGCAAAACATAAAGATTAAGCCCATCTAAGGTGCGCAGTTTCTGTGCGCTTGCCTGTAGTATTAGCGTGATTATGGCATTATAGTATTAGTGCGGCAAACTGAGTACAAGATTATGTTTTTTCACTCTTCCTGTTTTTCCAGACCTTTGAACATAAAGGAAAAGGGAACAAGGAAAGTGAATACTAAGCCAAAATCTCTTACTGTAAAACTTATGTGGTGCATATTACAAAGAAAATTATTTTATTGCTGTAGTTTGGAGTAATTATGCACATTGTTAGTCACACAAACCACTGTTTAAGACATGAGGATTTTTTTCCTTTATTACAACACTAGAGGACTCGAAATGTGTCTTAGAAAGGATAAAGCCTACTTTACCTGGGATTTTATTTAAACTGTGATTTAAAACTCATTTAATATTGCCACCTTTACTTTTATCCTCCCTAGAGGATCTAGATTACAGTATTTATTCTATTTACATTGATTGTGATACAAAATAAAATAAAGCATTAAGATAAAGAACACCATCCTAGCTTTCTCTGGCCTACTTTACTTTATGATCAGTATATACACCCTTAAATATGGTTCTTCAATGTTTCTTTAGTAAAGACAATGGTTATGGAATCATGACAATTCAAAGGACCATCTGAATGCTTACATGGTTCTTTACATGGTTAAATAGTTCTACCTGATAAAAACCTGCCGTATGTGGTTCTTCAAAGAACATTTCTAAAAAAAGGTTCCATTTAGCCAGGGATATCATTAAGAGATTTATGGATAAGGGGGCTAAGCCTTTACAAGAGAGGTGTGGTGCATGCTCCCCATGAGATTTTGTTAATGGCCCCAAAAAAGTTGGTTTATCATGAATTTTTAGAGTTGCAATCAGTGGAAAACTGATTAAAAATGGCTTTTTGTTCAAGCTTGCACACAGTAGATCTGTCGCTTCATTGTTTTTATCAGGCACAGGCCTAGTATGACTTAAATACTGTATCAGTTCACTTACAACAGACACAGATCATTAAGCCACACAATGCTATCTCCTGTCTGTCAGATAATCTAGTACAATCTCAGTGAAATCAGAAAGTGTGTTATTTTGTGCTATAGTTGTGCTTCCATGTGTTATCATCTAGGTGACATTATTTCATAATCATAGTGATGTCTGACACAACAAATATTATATTTTCTCAATTAAAGTTTCTCACAGATTAAGATCTATTAACGGAATAACATTCGTACAAATTCAGAATTAGCCAAAAGTTTAAACTCACTCGCTTTCCTCTTCATCACTAACCTCCCTTAGGCCTGCTCCTCTGCCCCGTCTGTCTCCTTCAAATTTCTTCGCTCCCTGTCCTCGCCTGCGTTTGGTGATACATTGGGTTTTTTTATTATTATTAAACTCAGATTTACAAGAACTGAATCATTAATGAGAGCTCAATCAGGGCTTTTTTTTTTTGTTTGCTTGTTTTTCATTTATCTATTCATTTATTATTATTATTCTTTTTTTTGTACTGGCAATATCCTTCTCACCTGACTGTCCTTATTGAGAAGTTGGAGGTGTTAAGCTGCGTTATGAAAACTCGCTATGTGACTTTTCACTGACATTAACTTAATGTAAACAGCAATACGTGGCTAATACTGTGAATACTGTTTCAAAACACTGCATAGATACATGAAAGCAAACAACAAAAGAGCTGATAATAACGTTATTTCTTTCTCTTTCGCTCGTTCACTCTCACTGTCTGTGAAGTTTATTATGTTAGTGTTACAGCTTATAGCTTATCCACTTGTCTTTATCTCATGCAAACCTAAAGCAATTTATGATAGCTAGCTAACAAGCAACTTGTTAAAACTAGATAGCCAGATACTACATTTGCAGCAAATTCATACTGCAGGTGTGTATCTTCACTATATAACTGCTCACTGTTTCACTCTATATATTATGTATTTTAAATGAGGGTTACTGTTCATTTTGGCCAATTTTTTGCCAAAATCCTGTCAGAACTTGGCGTTACTTTGCAGACTGAGCATCATCAGAGACCCGCCCCCATGTTTCATATGATTGGCTTACAACCTACCGAGGTCTGCTCTGATTGGCTGAGGCGAGAGCATGCTAAACAAGATGAACTGTTATGATAGCAGAAGTTCAGCTGAGTAGTTCAGCGGAGTAGTTCAGCGGAGGCCGTGGTCATTAGAAAAGCAGCAGCGCCTCCCACAGGTCGAACTTTGTAATGACAGTATATGGTGATTTTGGAAACGCCCCCGTATAAAGCAACTAAAAGTCTTCTGCTTTTGTTACAAGTTATATAACCTTTTTGGCACTATATAAATATGTACAGTCTTAGCAGAAAAAAGATCTCTATGGTACCAAATTTCTTTGAGAGTATTAGAACCCTATATAGAACCATTTTTTGTAGAACCATAAACAGCTGTACTCAATGGTAGTAGAACCATTTAATCAATCAATCAATAGGTTACGTAACCATTGGCGTTACTATAAAACCCTTGAAGACCCTCTTTTCCAGGATGTAGGTCTTTTTTTGCTAATAGTGAAATGATTTAAATGGTTAACTTTTTTTTCTGTGCGTGCCTCACGGAAATCTGATACATGGCAATACGTGAATTTCAAATAAATGACATATATTAGCATATATGGATTTCCCTTATACATCCAATTTATATTAGTCACAAATTATTTACATATAGATTAGATTAGATTCAGTTTTTTGCTCAGAGTACAGGTACAAAGCCAGTGAAGTGCAGTGAGCGTCTAACCAGAAGAGCAAATACAGTATCATTCACAGATGAGTGCTGGAAAGTAGTACCACAGCAACTGATGCTATATCTTACAATATATGTACAGTTATGGACAGTTAAAATATCCAAATATTACATATGTAAATATTTAAATACATATATACAGAGGGGAAGTGGACTGAGTTAGGGAATATAGAGACTGTATGTACAGTATGAACAGCATTTGGTTAAGTATGCAGAGTATAAATGACATGTAGGCTACAGTAGATGTACTCGTATAATCTACTATATAAGAACAAATATGTGTTTGTGCACAAAATAAGCAATATTTCCTTCTGGGGTGGGCTTTATTAGTGTTCGCACTGTTAGTGAAAACTAAATTAAGTAAAATGACCCGAGGTAAGAGGAAGGTGACTACCATTCAGGTGTGGCTGAAGAAGGAAAGTTTAACTCGTTTTGTGTAAATAAAGCTGGTGTAGGAGGTAAACGGGGGCGCCATGCTTGTCGTGCTTTCTGTTTGTGAGACGTTTCTGGTGTCAGTGTTTCTAAAAGCTGTTAAAATCGTTAAAGTCTGCGTTATCGGGCTCCTCTATCAGTGACAGACTCTCCTCACATGACTCTTATACCCAGGATGCTGCGGGCTGCGCTCTTCACAGGCGCGGAAGAAGAAGAGGAGCACACGGCTGGAGTTTGTCTTCAAACGCGCAGAGAAACTCCGAGCCTGCTCAGAGAGCTAAGCCGGTCTCGGTGTCCGGGGGCTCTGGGGGCTGTTTCCGCTCAGTCTGCTGCCGTACGGGCGGTGGGGTTTACCTCTGGAGCTCGAGCTGCTCGTCCTAACAACTCCGAGAAGCGGCTCGAAGTTGTGCGTTGTTGTCGTGCCGAGTGAGCAGCAGCGGGAGAGGAAGAGAAGAGGAGCTGCCGGTAACTACGCTTCCCCCGTCACTGCCAGGGTATGTTTTACTGCGTTTACTACAGCTCTGTCTTCATCTTCCCATGAGGGAACCGGGGGAGCTGCCGTTGTGCCTCATGTTGGCTTCACGCCGATTCTGGGCGAACTGTTTAAACGTCAAAAAAGTGTCATTTTCTCGCGTTGAGATCGCGTTTCAGTGTTACTCACGGGCGCCCTCTGCTGGTAGGGAAACTCTTGGCCTGAGCTGTGCCCTCACCTGAAAGGGGAACGCCACCGAGTTTTCAGAATGTACACATAATTTGATCGTTGCGGTGTAAACTCTGTTGTAAACTCGGTGTAAAGTCTGTTGTGTTGTGTGATGTTTGTAAGTGTGTGCAAGTATATATATAGATAGATAGATATATAGATATAGAAATATAGATAGATACATATATGCACATATACCATAAAGGCAGGTGTATATTTTAAAATATATGTACATATATGTAAGTATCAAATATTGGATTATATGTACATTATACATATACGTCTGCTATGTGGCTGAACTACAGGGACTGGTTGAGCTATTCTTAGGTTACAGACATGGGTAATGGGTCTGCCGGCAGACCCTGGCCTCTTAAGGGGTTAAGTAAATTATATAAATATGTCAGGGAACAAATCTTTCATTAATTTCTTGATTAAATGGCTTCATTGCATAGCTTATATGTTTCTTTATGTAGCTAATTTTTACTTCATAGTATATCAATATTCAAGTATATGGAAGAAACACAGAAGATGCATAAACCTTATGTTATATATATATATATATATATATATATATATATATATATATATATATATATATATATATATGTATATATATATATATATATATTTATATGTATGTGTGTGTGTGTGTGTGTGTGTGTGTGTGTGTAATCTGCAGATCATTGGGCCTTTTCTGAATTTCCTGAAGCTTTAAAAGGGTGAAATAGCTGTGTTTTGGTTCTAGGAGGGTCAGATTCATGTTGCACCTAAATATGAATAGAACTTTTGAAGGCCTTCTCAGAAAGGCACGCTGTGTTGTCTTCTATTAAGAGGGCTGAACAAGAGATTGATTGTAAATCATTTTTGCAATAACAGCCCCCAGGGATTTCTAATAAAGTGCTCCAACTTCGTATAAATCAGTAATAAGTGCTTAGAAAGAATTTGTCCTTTTGCTTTCGGCGATAATGATTATTGATTATAATAGAAATCTCTAAACAGGGCATTTCACAAGAAGTCATTCAGCACTCAGGGTGTCCAATCTTATCTACAGCGGGCCCGGTTTTGGCAGCAGGTTTTCATTCCATTCACGCAGGATAAAATCTGATTCTTTGTGTTTATTCAGTTGGTATCAGTCTAATATTTGATCAGGTGTGCTCCTGCTTTGTTGGAACGAAAACCTGCAGCCACGCTGGACCTTTGGACACCTCTGCTGAGGAGATTCTGCAGGTTTGAAAGTGATAAGGAGAGGAGACGTGTTGAATTACTAGCTGAGAGAGGCAGCCAGAGTAACTGATAGAGAATAGGAGTGTTTGGTGATGAGTGGGTCAGAGGTCACGCTGGGTATCCAATGGGGCTCAAATGGTTTAAGTGAAGCAAAGAGCATGTCTAAGTGAAAACTCATGAGTCCAGAATGGTTGGAATAGTCTATATGAGAAACTGGAGACACGCTTTAATAATCAAAATAACATCAAAAGAATAATCAGATGCCTTTGGCTTTATGTGTGATGTTTTCCCATTCAGTCATTGTACTTGTTGTCCAGAGAGGACAGAGGCCGGCCTGTCAGCGTCTGCCTTCTGGAACACAATAGTTTACACTTGTTTCTTTGTTCTGTCATGGTGCAGCGTTTTGTCCTTTTTGATGTTATTAGGCTTTGGATTTGTGTGTGTGTGCATGGTGTGTACGAGTGTGTATGTCTGTGTATGTATATATGTGCAGATGTGTATGACTGTGTGTGCATATATGTATACATACATGTGTACATATGTGCACAACAGTTCAAAAGTTGGTAATTTGGAATCTTTGTTCGGGACTTTGGAATCATTGTTCAAAAGTTTGGAATAAGTGGTCAGAACTTTGAAATCGTTGTTTAAAAGTTAAATTTTTTTTACAAAATCTTGGATTCACTCTTCAAATCTTTGAAATTGCTGTTCAGACGTTGTGACTTGTTTAAAACTTGGGATTCACTGATCAAAATTTGGGAATCACTGTTTCAATAATATAAAAACAATTTGGTTGCAGACAAGTGTAAAACATTATTTTAGAACATTCTGAAATGATTGAGAAAGTTATATACCATAAAAAAATAAGTTATATTAAAATTAATATCCAAAATTCAAAAGCAAATCAAGGCAGAGACAAAAATTGACCTTTTATTATTTAATAACTTCTTTTTACAGAATCTTAAAAGATTGAATAAAACATCTAAAAATACCTTTTGGTGAATACTTTATAATATTTAAATCGACATTGTGTACGTTATTATTGTATATAAAGAAAGAAAAATCAATTTCTTATCTGTTTCTCTCTTTCTCTGTCTCAGTCACTGAATATGGACCACAGACTCATCTTCTCTACGTTGGAGGCGGTGTGTGTGGAGGTTATCTCTGCCCTCTCTGGTCAGGTCAATCTGTTGTACAATGATGCCACCAATCAGCTGTTAGCAGTGATGAGACGTATTCAGGAGCATGGCCGTGCTGTGGGGGCGCTGGTCACTGGCTTCGCTGCTGTGTACCACCACTATGACTTTGATACAGAGACACCTGGGAATGGATTCCGTACATTAGTCAAGGTAAACTTCACCTGGCAGAAAGAATGCAGTTCTACACAAGCTTAATTTTTTTAAATGAATGAAACAAATTGAATGAAATACTGCACATATCAAATAGGGCGGCACAATGTATTATTTTCTAATTGTTATTGTGGTAATGGAGTCTGGTATGTCAGAAGGCTGTAGTGTGTAGTTATACATTCATATGCAAAAGTTTACACACCCCCAGTCAAATGATCTGTTTTGTTGATTTGTTTTTTGTTGAAAATAAGTTAACCTGCACATTTTAATGCACAATTTCTATTTCTTGGTCTTTTTTAATGTATTTCAAAATGTGCCATAATGTTTGCACAGGCCACATTTTATGTTTTGTTTTTTCTTCCAATGTTTGTTAAATTCAGCTAATAAACAGTAACTGTGTATAAAATGTACAGGAGTGTGTTCTCTTTAGAGGATATGTTCACTTATTTTCACTCAGAAAGTCAACAAAAATTTAACCAGGGCGCCCAAACTTTTGCATACCACTGTATGTACAATATACACAATGCCCTCCAACCGATCACAATCATTTTTGTGATCATTCTGTCGAACAAACGTTGATTATTTTGGTCAAAATATTGCATATCAGCCTTTAACCACGTCACATCACTGATTGAGTAATGCATTCTTTAATGTATTGCAAGGTTTATGACAGTTTAAATATGTAGCAATAAAATAGCGTTAACATTAACATTAAAAAAAAAATAATATTAACATTTTGGCCATATTGTGCAGCCCTGTTATCAAACATGATTACATTGTTTGGAGTTTGAGTTCATTCAAAACTTGCATGTTAGTGCTTGGGTCATTGTTCATATTCATATTGCTTTTTTATTCAAAATTGTATTTAATGTGGGAAATTATTTTTGTCTACAGGTGGTACACTCCTGCGTTCTTTACATAATCCATAAGGGCCGTTACATTGCCTCCAGCTGTGGGGGGGTGTTTTTCCGGGTGGACCACAATGCAAGTGAAATGGAGGCGTACTGCACGGCTCTGTGCCAGCTACGAGCCCTGCTCTACCTGGCCCAGCGGTTACTTAACGACAACGAACATGGGCAGCTCTACTCTCAGGAGGGTGACCTGAGTGAGAGGTTTGTGAAAGAGTACACATCCATGCACAAGGCCTGCTTCTATGGCCGCTGCCTGGGATTTCAGGTGAGTCGTTTCATGCTTTGTTGTGCACTCACATGTGTTCATTAATGCCTCATATTGTAATGTTCCTCGTTTTATAAAACCGAGGTGTCTACATGACACGAGGAAAAAATTTATAGGAATTCTTCATCACAAAGGAGTCAAAGGAATCATTCATTGCACAAACCTCCCGATCTCATGACGTACAATTATGTATGTTTTTGCCAGAACCTTAGCAAAATGGCATGTTTTGTTTATTTTTCTAAGTGAAAGACTGAGAACACACTTCTGCCCATTTTAACACATGAAAAAAAAAAGAGTTCCACCAATTTTTCAAAATGTCTGCATAATTCATTAATTGAGATGCAAACATAGTCATTCAGAGTGGTTTGATGTGAAATGGTTCACTGTAGGGACACTGAACAACAATGATTTCTTTACAGTGGTGGGAAGCAAGGGTCATAATGTCTACAACACAAATATAGCCATTTTATTTACTGTCCAAAACCACCAGTGAACCTACAGCTGTCTCATGAGTTTATATATGCAAGGTTGATACAGGTAATAAATCAGAAACTATGCATTTTCTTTGGGGACTCCATCAAAAATGTATAAAGAACACATTTTAGCTTGTCTCAGAACTGTCGTAAAGCAGTGTCTTGGGCATCAGTTAACATATCTGTTACCATTTTATGGAAGCTTTCTGTGAGGGAGCGTTTAGAGACATTAAACACTTTGGGCATCTGATTCCTATCACCACTACTGTGAACTGACTTTGTTAGTTTCTCTAGAATGAAGTATTTTACAGCAAACCATTCTGGATGACTTTGAAATCTGTGAAATTTCCCTTTGAATACAAAAAAAGAATAAAACATAAATGTGGCCATTGCAAAAATCTTTTAGTTTTCTCCAGTATGTTAAACTCAGCAAGTAAATATAATAAAATGTTATATGTATGTGTTAAGTAATTTTCACTTACAATGTAATTTGACTGGAAGGTCGTTCAAACAGTTGTATATGACTGTATGTTGAATATGTTTTGCTTTTTAAACGATATATATATCTCTAAAGGGGAGGTTCTACCAAAATTACATTTACACAATTTTCCTTTTACCTCAACTGTTGTCAGTCAGCTAAGACATGTTCGGTGTTTGAGGTTGGATTCCTTATTTTTGCACTTAGCGTATAAGGTTAACAGTTAACAAGTAATGGAAGTTTATAGCCTGTATTAGCACCCACAAAAATGCTAATTCGCCTCTGAATGCATTTTGCATCATCTCAAATATCCTTGTTTGTCTGGTTTCTGACACAGTACGATATACTGTTATTGCTAACAAAATTCAGGCTTCAAATTAGCTGCTACTGTTTTTAGCTGTGCAATGCAGCTTCGTCTGCATCTTTGTAGCTAACGATGTGTAATACAGTATCAAACACATAAGCAAGTCTGTGTGTGATTACTTACATTACTTTAGGGTAAGTCTGTGATGATTTAGGCATGCAGTTTGCGTAGTGTTAATTGTTTTGCTGTAAGTTTGGATTCCGTGTTAGCTACATTAGCCTCGTAGCTCCAGTATCAAACTGTGAAACCTTAGATGCTAAAAATGTCTTTGTTGATCAATTACATTTAGGGAAAGTGGAACATTATGTATTTTTTTTTATTTGACTAAATCATTCCTTTAAATTACTCTAGCTTGTGTTGATACGTGACATTAATATGGTTAAAGGACTTTTAAAGGACTGCATGTTTCGCTCTCTCTCTCTCACACACTCTTTCTCTGTCTTTCTACCCAGTTCTCTCCCTCTCTCAGGCCTTTCCTGCAGACAGTGGTGATCAGTATGGTGTCCTTCGGAGAGAACTACAATAAACAGCAGAGTAGATTAGGTCAGTGACTAGCATTTCAACACGTTGTTAAATGCCCCCCCCCACCACTAGATTTGTGTATTATTAATGATATTAATGCATTTTCCTTTAAGCTAATTAAATGGCTCGGGTCCTTTCTAGTGCTTTTTTTGCAAGTCGCTTCCCACGATTCATTGCAGCTTTGAATTTTGTCCATAGGGAGGGCCGCTCTCTCGATCTTCACCTCTGGGAAGTATGTGGTAGACCCTGAGCTGAGGGGGGCCGAGTTTGAACGTATCACTCAGAACCTGGATATGCAGTTCTGGAAAACGTTTTGGAACATCACTGAAACCGAGTTGATCTCAGTCAGTTGGAATTTTTATGCCCCCCTTTTTTAAAAGTCAGCATCAATCGGAAAAACATAACACATTTTCTTTCCGTACTGTGTCATACAGTGCTGCGCAACAGTCTTAGGCACCTAAGGAAACTGCTTCAAACCATTTATCTCAGCAGTGAGTGGGCATTTGCTTACTTAAACACTATATATCTCTAGGATAGATGCAAATAATATAATACCTTATATTCTTGTGAGCTGGTTATAGAAGAGCACCGAATTGCTTCTAGATTTCTCCATGATACCTAAAGCCATCATATAAAGAAAGAAAGTCCATTAGCCACTACATGAGATCACTACTTACTGTATTAATATTATTGGTATTCATTCTAATATTAGCTTTTTTAAGTAAATAAATGCTTACTACCCAGTGAAATCGCTTTTTAAATCTACTTTTGTCAGGTGCCTAAAACCATTGCATAGTACTGTATTAAAACACAGTATCAGGGAGGGTCTCTAATATTATTGGTGCACGGTGACTTAAAACGAATGTAATTTGTAGAAGATACGGTCAATATGTACAGGATAAAGTATCTGTGTAATATCCCCAAATTACCACAAACTGCCCATTAATATAGTCATGTGCAAAAATTTGGGCGCCCCTGGTCAAATGACACGTTTGTTGATTTTTTTAAGTGAATATAAGTTAACACATCCTCTATGGAGAACATACTTCTGCCTTTTTATGCACAATTACTGTTTATTTACTGAATTAAACCCACTGGGGAAAAATGTGGCCTGTGCCAAAGTTATGGTACTTTTTCTATTTTATGTTTTTTTTTTTTCCAGTAAATTAAAACTAAGCAAATGAATAGAAATTGTGCACTAAAATTTGCAAAAATTAAAATGTCATTTAAGTGTGTTCTCTATAGAGAATGTGTTAACTTTTAACATTTTCACTTAGAAAATCAACAGAACATGCAATTTGATTGGGATGTTCTGGGATGTTCACACGTTTGCATACAACTGTATGTGACGATTGTGAATCAACAGAATCATTGACATTGTTGGGTACCCAACAAAAGATAAGGCATAAAGATAAGGAATCTAATGCACAGCAGAACAGACTTGAGTAACAAGCCATTTTTTGTTCCAGATATAAGACAAAGCAGTCAGCCTAAAACATTGGGACTGATTTGATTTCTCTCTTTCTTTTTCTCTCTGCAGGGTCTAGCCAGCATCACGTCTAACCCAGTGCAGGTGAATCTGACTCTATCTGTTCCCGGAGAGTCACTGAGTTTGCCTCTGGCCTCAGACCCAAGCCTGACGGTCACTGTGTCCCCTCCAGTTGCCCACTGGGGACCAGGCCCTGTGAACATGCGCCTCATCTCTCACACACTTCGAGAGGGACAGGTATGCTCTCACGCTCAGTGAGATTGCTCATGAAAAAAACACTATGATCGAAAAGTTTGAAATCATTTGACATGTTAATACTTGTGATGTTATTTAGAAACAATAATAGTGGTAACTGTAGATATTTAAATGCTATAAACTGCACTCCAACATATGTATTCAGGCTTCATTCCATATTTCAAGTATTTTGAGAATAAGAAGAGGTTAAAATATCTATGTGCAATCCTTTTTGTCAAGTTATCTGGCTCAAGAATTGATCACCACTTTTGAAATATGTAGCATTTTAATTACTGATTTTATTCTAGCTTCATTCTTTTTAGAATTGTGTACAGGTCTGTATATCAATCTTGAAAACCTGAATGTTTTTACAGTTTCATACAGCACAGGGCTAGTATATTGGAATGATTTTATACATTTATCTAACCTCAATTGTTTTATACTATTAAAACATTGCCATTCAAAAGTTTGGAATCAGTGTACAGTCGTGTGCAAAGGTTTGAATACTCCTGGTCAAATTCCATGTTTTTATGATTTTGTGAGTGAAAATAAGTTAAAACGTCCTCTGCAGAGAACTTAAATAGGGAATCTTTCTATTTAATTTTACATATTGGAATAAATAAAAAAAGAAACTAAATGAAACTTGTGCCAGTTTTTTGCACGGGCAAATATTGAATGTTTTATTTGTCTTCCAGTATGTTAAATTCAGCAAATAAACAGTGCATTAAAATATTTATTTTCACTTAGAAAATTAACAAAATGTAAATTGACCGGGGTGTTCAAACTTTTGCATACGACTGTATGTATGTGGTCTTGTACTCCAGCACATTTGTGGTATTTATGAGACAGTTGATCAGCAGCCAAAGGAAATTGCTATGAATTAAACAGTTGTTAGTGAGAGTTTATTAAATCTGAAATACTATCAGTGTCTTATTACTATGTAGATCAAATGGCAGAGTTTGCTGAGCTACTCCAATCAACCCAGTAACTCAACTGTACTGACTGTATCTGTAGGACAGTGCAGAGCTGCTGGCACTGTCTCGCTCTGAAGGGCCTCAGCGGTCTCTCTCCATGGGCTTCAGGAACCAGGGAAGATCTCCGTCTCCGTGGCTACTCATCCACTTTCACGGGGGAGGATTCGTGGCACAGACATCCAGATCTCATGAAGTATGTTGAAAATGTTTTGTTCTTATAACAGTATAGAGCTGTATGTTATACTGTATGTAACATATTAGGTTCTTATTTTACTTTGATGAAATGTATTTAAGATTTCTTAAGGAGGAATTCTGTTGTTCAGTTATGTAAACAAAATAATTCAGAATGGTCTGATGTGAAATGGTGCATTATAGAGAAAATTACCAACTGAGAACCAGGGGTCACAATTTCTACAACGCAAATATAACCAATTTATTTGTTATCCACAGAGGGGCTTAGTAATTAGTTACATGTAGATGGATTTGTACTCTCCTGATTATTTTCTCAAGCACATTTGAGAGTGGAGGAATCTACTTACATTTTAACGATTCGTATTTAGTTACTAATTCCTTTTTTGTGTTTAATTTCATTATGCTTTGTTGGTGACAACATCTGTACTGTTTTGTGATTGGTCACATCTCTGGAACTTTTAGCATTTTATTTTAGACCAAAAGAATCTGAAAAACACTAAAATAGAGCTGTACAAGCTTCAGCTCCTGTGCTGCTAGATGCTGGATTTACTAAGTTCCGCTGCAGTTCCATAAATTATTCAGTACTTCAGTATTTTTGTCCTGATACTTTTGCAGTTCTACTCAAGCTGTTTTTTGGGGAATGTACTTTTACTTCTGCTTGAGTGATCACTGTCCCCAGTATCATTACTTTTACTTGAGTATTGGTTTAGGCTACTCTACCCACCTCTTGTTATCCAAAATGACAAGTGAACCTACGTGTCTTCTGAGTTTGTATATGTAAGGTTGATAAAGGTAAAGTAAAGGTAAATGTGAAATAAATTGAAAGCTTTCTTTGGGAAGTATTTTGCCTTACAGCACCCTGCATATATCTCTACAGCATAATAAATTTAGAGCTATAGATATTATAGCCCAAAAGCTTAAAAGAAAGTTATTAAAAAACATTGATTCAGGCACCAGGCAGCATATTTATAACCATTATATGTAATAACTTCCTGTGAGGGAGGTTTAAGAGCACTTTGGAGGTCTGGTTTCTATCGCCACTATGAAAAATTCAGACTCTACATTTTTCTAGAACAAAGCATTTCACGTCAAAATACAGTGAGTGACTTTGTTTACATATTAACATTTTAATAATACAGAACTTTTTACAGATCAGTGCAGAGGCGAGGTATGTGATTATTTAGGCATGCAGTTTACATGATGCTAATTAGTGGAGTACAAAGCCTTCATTACATGTTAGCTACATTAGCCTTAAAGCTCCAGTGCAAACTGAAAGAGATTCTATCACTTTTTGTGTTCTGTATCTCTAATGCAGAAGATCAGCTTGTTGTACTTCTTGTGCTTCATGTATTAATCTGTCCTGAATATCTGTCTCTTTTCAGAGTTATCTGAAGACCTGGTCAAGGGATCTGAATGCACCGATTCTTTCTGTGGATTACTCTCTGGCCCCTGAAGCCCCCTTCCCTCGAGCCTTGGAAGAGTGTTTCTATGCTTACTGTTGGGCCTTAAAGAACTGTCACTTACTGGGTTTGTGCTACATGGCAACCCACACATACACAAAACATGCCACCAAAAACAACTTTTTGTTAGTGTTGAATGTGTGGGGCAGCGAGGACTGATAAATTTGGCCCTTAATGTTTTATCTCAGGCTCAACAGCAGAGCGTGTGTGTCTGGCGGGGGATAGTGCGGGTGGAAACCTGTGCCTGACAGTCTCAATGAAGGCCATGTCTCACGGTGTGCGAACCCCTGATGGCATCATGGCTGCATACCCAGCCACGCTTTTGACAACAGATGCTTCACCTTCCCGGCTCCTGACCCTCATCGACCCACTGCTGCCTCTCAGCGTGCTTTATAAATGCATCAATGCTTACACTGGTAAGATAGTAATCTATTTCTTATGTTGCTTATGTGTTTACTAGCTCCTGAAGTTTTATGCATAGTTCAATGGTTGAGATGTAAACAAAGTCAGTCAGAGTGGTTTGATGTGAAATGTTGTGTTTTAGAGAAGCTTACTGACTCTGATCTTTACAGTGTTGGTGATAGGAACCATTTATAGTCCAGAATGACCAGTCAATGTACTGTCTTCTGAGTTTTTAGTAATGGTAAAAAATTTGTAAATGTAAAAATCTGTTTTCTTTTTGCCTTTTGATGCCCTACAAAAATATTAATAATTAATTTTAGGGCAAAACAGTATCTCAAAACTGGCATAAAACAATGTGTAAAACAGGCATCAGTCATATTCATAAATTTTTTGTGTACAAGCTTTCTGTGAGGAAGCTTTTATTTTAAGGTCCAGGCCTGTTATTTTGGCCAAGAAAACCAGAATTTCCACTCCTTCTGGCTTGAGGCTTGAATGCTGAATATAGTGCACCAGACTGCCAGTTAGTGGTGTTTTCATGTATACAGAACATGGAAACTGATGTTTTAGGCTACATGAAACTAAAGTGCACTTGAGTTGCATTAACGAGCCCTGCAACTCACTTGCAACTCCGCCACAACAGTTGCAAGCATCCCAACTCCTGGAAACAAGTTTCATTTAACATGTGATCACATCAAATGACATACTTTAAAACAATTTTTAACAGATCAATGAAAATAAAACAGAAGATGCATTATTGGGCAGTTGAAAAGGAGACCACCATCCTGCCTGTTCCAACATATCAAACCGCAGAAAAAACTAAATATCGTTAATGTCACTATGTTTCAAGATGTTGTATTTTTGCTATATTGTCCTGCCTATTATACTATCCTCATGTTAAAGCTGAGGTTTAGATATACTGTAAATTTTTGTTATACTAACCATGATGTTTTGTTAACATTTGTAAGTTCAGCCTGTATTGCTGTCATATAGTTAAAGAGAGAATGCTTCATATTGGGCTCCCAACCACCCAGTTTTCAACTGTAGCAATTAAACCCTGGATTATCAATAGCCCCCGATATTATTGGCCAACCGGTTGGTCTGTAATTGTAATATCTGTGATGATAAATTAAGAGAAACTCCCATTTCCCCTGCTATATTTCTTACTTCCTTTCTTCCCCTAAGGCTCCCCCAGTGTCTCCATAGAGTTATGAACATGATTGTGTTAATAATATCTTTATCTCTCCACTTCTTGTTCTTTTTTCAGGTACAGAGAGTGAGTCTGTGCAGCCAATACAACAGCTGGACACTCTGAGCGCTCTGGGCCGGGACACAGCAGTGTTGCTAGGGGACATCACGCAAGGAGCCTCCAACTGGCTTCAGTCGCTACTCAACAATACATCTGCCTCATCACCACCAGCAACTAGATCAGCCAACGGGCCTCAAAATGCAGTGCCTCATTCTGATGACACGCTACAGTGCTCTAAGGAATTCCCTGAAGGCTTTGAACCACTGCGTTCTGGGTGTCTGGCAGAGATTAGGACCCCCTGCACCCCCATAATGAAGAACCCATTTGTGTCTCCTTTACTTGCACCGGACATTCTTCTCAAGGGACTGCCACCGGTGCACCTAGTGGTAAGAAACTAAACTGAGGGGTGACAGAAATGTGTAGAGAGCAGAGAGTAGAGGGTGTTTTTTGTTGCTTTCAACATCTGATTTAAATGGGCTATATCAATTTTTCCTTTCTTTTTTTAGTTTGATGTAGTTTGTAAATGCTGTAAGTTTTTCAAAATATACCATTCACTCTGCACTCCATACAGTCTATATTTAGAAAGTAAACAGCTAAAACAGCATTGTTTTTGTGATGACATAAAAGCCACCACATTTACATTTACATATATCCACCATTTGAATGATGGAGCCAATTAGAACAGAGATTGCCTTAAAGGTAACAACAACAGCCTGTTTAATGTTAAAGGACAAAGAGAGGTTTGACAATGGTCATGCAAAAATGAAGTATGACTGTTTATTATTCTCAAACAAGTCCCATAAGCAGATTTATAAAACTGAAGGTTTCGGTCCTAAAATCTGATTGGCTGAGCCACATTCAAAGCCATTGTAAAATCCACAATATACGCACACCTATGACCGCTTCACAACAACTGAACTCTGTATTACTGCACCACGGCACTAAGAAAAAATCCCGTGTGCTGTAAATGGAATAATCTTTGACTCTCATGCTACTTACATGGACCACCGAGTATACTGATTAAGTAAGAACCCCGTTTTTTGTTTAAACTGAGGAACTGGCAACTTATGTTCTTAACCAGAATTAGGCTGGTTGGCTAGCTACTAGGCTAAACGATAGCCAACAGCCAAAACAACTCCATCATTAATATCACAGGCTTGAATTAAAGTATGTAGGGTGTGATGAACTGTAAAACATCAGTATAAAAGTTTAAAAAATGTCACTTGAATGGATTACACGCTTAAAATGCCCATTTTTCAGTCAGAAGTTGCGTCAAACTCAGGCTGAATCCCAAACAGCTCCGTACTTCCTAAATAGTGTTCTAGCTATGAAAGTTTAGAAATTCTAGCCTCTGCAGCCAAATAGTGCATCATTCGTCGAGTATTGATGTGTCTGAGTCTCAACTGACTATTTCTTAGCTGTATTTTGCACCATTGGGGTGCAGCATCCAGTATTTAAATTCTTCCACAGTGCACTATGTAGGGAGCAGGGAGCCATTTGAGATTCGGCCCCAGCATGATAAGAGGGCCGCTGCTGGATTGGTGCTAAATAAGATGATGATAATCAATCAGTGATAATTTGGTGAGCAAAAAGTACTTATAAAGCTAAGGTTTTTGCATTAAACAGTGCTGTGTTATCATATGTTCATTGATATATGACAAAAAGTTTAAGGATTCATGAAATGATTGCAGTATACAGCGATGGGCGACCAAATGTATGAAATGTTATGTATGAAAATATGTTGGCACATTGTCCACTTAAGAGGGGGGAAAACATCTTTAGAAGATGATGTTTCTTCATCAGCATCCAGTGTTGTTTTGGTTTAGATCATTAGCTTATCTGAGGCAGTATTCTGGAAGTACTGGCAATTCCCTTAATATACTCAAAAGAAGCGTATTGTAATTTATCACAATAACATATTGCCCACCCATGCTTATTATATACAGCTATTCCAGACTTTTGACTGATGTTTCACCATTACCTTATTTCCCAGGCTTCGGCTTTGGATGCCCTGTTGGACGATTCTGTGATGTTTGCCAAAAAGCTGAGGAGCATTGGCCAACCAGTGACCTTGACGGTGATAGAGGACCTCCCACACGGCTTTCTCAGCCTATCACAAGTTTCTAAAGAGACTCAGGAAGCATCGGACATCTGTGTGGGACGAATCCGAGAAGTCTTTGAACAGGAATCGCCACCTGACACGCACAGGCAACCGAACCTCAACCACAAACACAATACCATGGTTGGGTAAGCTGGACGATTAGGAACAACTGATGTTTCTGGAACCAAGGAAAGTAGCTTGATAAGCTAATAAAAGTCACGGAAAACAGAGTGAGAAGGAATAAATAAAGGGACTGAAAAAAAATAAAGGGAAGAAATTTGAATCAAACTAGAAAAACACCTACACATAACTGTTCACTTATCCACACACTGCAACATCTTAAAGGAGCATTCTACCATTTATACTAAAAGAGCATAATTTCTATTTTGTATTTCTAGTTTTCAAAATGTTTTTTGTGAAATTTGTGCTTCCATAATTAGGATATGTAACAATGACCTCACAGGCTTCCAGAGAGAATAGAGCAACCTTCATGTCTGGGTTCACCATGGACTTCTACAAGTGCACACATAAGAACAGCTCAACAACACCACATCCTCAGGTTGTGAATTTAGAATAAAACTGCTATTCAGTTATTAGCTTGGTAGCTGATTTTCTGGGGTGGGGCTACTCTATTGTAGCTACCAACAAGAGAAAAAAAATAAATTTAAAGCACAACTTACATTATTCTGTACCTTATTGCAGAATTGGTGTATAAAACAGTGATGGTATGTGACCGAATGGCCATGTAAATGCATAAGCCGTCATGCCAGGGTGATAGTGGCTGCCGAAAATTGGTGATGACATAAGTAGATCTTTGTCAGTCTCTTTTGTCAGGCCTCCCCATAGCATGTATAAGACTACAAATATTCGTTTTTTTTATCAGGTCTTACCATAAGATAAGATAGAAATAACAATTATTTTATCAGTGAAGTTTTGCGTGGTTGTTTATAAGTTTGTATGCCCCATGAAAACCTATGTATGATAATTTTTCTTACTTCAGAAGCACACATTTCATAAAAACCACCTTAAACACATTAAACAATGAAAACTAGAAAAAAAGCTCCAAAAATGTTGCCCTACAGTGGACTGCAGTACATTAAAAGCACATTTAAAAACAGAGTTGGTCTTCAAACCTCTCCACATTTACTGAATGTCTCACCAGCGTATCGCCATTGTGCTTTCAGTGAAGCTCTAAAATCCATCTATGCTGCTGGACTTACCTTTACTGACATTAATCTTTTATACTTTTTCTTCAAATTATATCTATATTCTGTTGGGGTTTATTACCCTTTAAATACACTGTGAGTGTATCGAACATCGTAGGTAGTTTTAACATTTTACAGGCAGTAGTTTGGAGCATGGATGCTCAATCTTGGTCCTGGAGATCCACCTCCCTGGAGAGTTCAGATCCAACACACCTGGCTCTCATAGTCAGATGCTCCTGAAGGTCTTCATTAACTGAATCAGGTATGTTTGATTAAAGATGGAACTAAGGTGGGCAGGGTGGTAGATCTCTTGGACCAGGATTGGGAACCCATGGTTTGGAGGAATGCTATTGCACCAGCTTCTGTGTGGGGGGATTGCTGCTTCAACTGGATTTACAAAGATTTACTATACCAAAATGTCTGAATGGGACACAGTGGTCAAAACATGCAGGGCGTCATGCTTCACCCCATTGTGCCCATTCACTTTTTAGATGTGTGTTGTTTTAAGATGCGCACAAGACATTACAATAACAATTCAAAGCATTTAGGGCATTATTTTCACATACCGTGCAGTGTTCATGGTATGGCTCTATTTAATGAATGAATGTAGTATTTTTAATACCTCTTAACAGGCTTATAATGGCCTATGATTTCTAAGCTGCTGTAAATATACATCTCACCTTTATATTTATACTTCTTCTTGTATTTATACTGTTTGAGATGAATATTTTCATAAATGCCTAATATTTCTACCTTACACCTATTGCTAATAAATATCTTTGTTTATTCAAATATGGGTTGAAAATAATAAAACAGACTGACAGTGTTTGACATTTTGCGTTGTTTTTGATGAAGTAGGTTAGCTGGCATAAATCTGTGAGCTTTTAAATGGCATGCAGTTGTGCATTGTGCCAGAGACAGAGAAATGGTGTAGTAGAATAAAGAAACAAAACGTTCATTATTCTCAACAAAAGAAGAGACTTAAAAGATTGCACTGAAAATGTTGAATGGAGAATGCAGCATGCATCTTCAACTGCCTCTACGCTTCACGCCTGGCTTCGTTCTCTTTGCCAGTGTTCCTGCTTCCCTCAGCAGTGTGTCTGATGTTCTTCAGTAGTAGTGCCAGCCAAGATGCAGAGGCGTGAAAGTGCTGTCTATTCCTTCCCTCAGTGAGTGAGAAATAGAAGACTGTAATTTAGAAGAACTGCTTGATGACTCGACCTTTTATTTATTATTAATTTATTATTTTTAGGGCAGGCCGAAAACACATTTCTGGTTTTCTTATTCAGTATTTTCAAAACACTATGTAAGCTGTGGGGATTTTGGAGACCCCTGTGGTGGAAATGTGTAATTGCGGAAGAACATTAAACGTGTTTCAGACCCCTTCCCTGAGCGGATGAATCTGATGTTTGAGAGTGCGTTAAAAGAGACCTCAGTCAAAACTAGGTGAAGGACATGTCTTCCCAAGGATGAAAGTCATCATCATCATCATCTTCTACTATAGTCATCATATCTTCAACAGTGTAATGTTGATTTTGCTTTTGAGACATATACATCAAAGCTGGACCTCCCTTTTGAGCATTTGTGTGACATTAATACGCAAAGACATACATTCAGGAAAAAATGCCCTAAACTCTCACTCGGTTGGTACCTTGAAAGGAACAAGATGTAAGACTTTCATCATGACTTACAACACCCCTGCACTGTGTGATTCTTACAAGTGCTTTAATGCTTAAATGCTTTATTTCTTTATACCAATATTTTGGACACAATAGAATGGATCCACATCAACCAACTCTCTGACTACAACCATGATGATATAAACAGTGACATCATACACAGTAAGCTTGTTAAGCTTTCCCGAGCAGCAGAACACAACTCCAACACATCACTTAATACCGCGCTCATCATTAGTGTTTTGCATTTGGTCATTGTGTGTAAGCTTGATCATGTCATTCTACAACTAATGAAGAATAAGAAGATGAAAGAGGAACAGAAAAAGGTGACCATACAAAAAAAGTGCTATAAATATCTTGACACTCTAATTCATCTTATAATTGGATTGCTGGATTGCCACAAACCAATTATCAGTCAACCGTGAGGGTTGTGGGGCTCCTCTCTCTCTCTCTCTCTCTCTCTCTCTCTCTCGCATTTATTTTCTTATTATTATTTTTGGAAAGGCCTTTTCTTTTCTTCTCCTGTTTTAAAAAAAAATACTTTTTTGCAAATACTGTTGCAAAGCGTTTTGGCCATATTTTACTCTCTCTCTGAGCATAATTACTATGTTCAGCCATCCTCTCTCTCTACCAGCTGTTACTGCGTGCCCTGACACAGGCTCCAGAAAGACCCAACCATAAATGCAGACAGAGAAACCTGTATTTAAACAAAACCAGTACAAAGACTTAAGTTTTAGTTATTAACAATTGTTTTTGTAAATATTCACTCATTCTGAAATTGCTATCTGTAACACATTCTAACAAAAGGTGCAATTTAAGACTAACAACATTTTGAAATGTTCAAAGCATCTTACAGAGGTGCTGCAATCATGCTTGGCTATAAAAAGATCACCCAGGAAAGGCCTTTATAAGTAAAGGTGGGTCAAGGCTTGGCACTTTGCCAAAGAATGTGTCAACCAATAATCCATCAGTTTAAGAGTAATGTTCCTCAATGAGTGACTGCAAGGATTTTAGACATTTCACACTTTATATTACATAATATCAAAACATTCAGGAAATCTGGAGAAATTTCTGTGCATAAAGTGCAAGGCTGAAAAACACAACTGGATGCTTGAAACCTTTGATCCCTCAGATGACACTGCATTAAAAACCGACATGCTTCTGTAATGGATATCACTGCATGGGCTCGGGAATACTCAATGAACACCATTTGTCTCTGCATCCACAAATAACATTAAGCTTGTCCTCTGTGCAGCGGAAGCTGTTGATCAAAAATGTCCAGAAACACCGCTGAGCTCTCTGGGTTTGAGCTCATCTGAAATGGACTCATGCACAGTGGAAACGTGTATTGTGATCTGATGAGTCGTCATTTTCGGACGTTTGTGGAAATAATGGTTGTTGTGTTCTCCAGGCCAAGGACCATCCAGATTGTTGCCAATGTAAAGTTCAAAAGCCAGGGTCTGTCATAGTATGGGGGTGAATTAGTGCCCAAGTAATGGGTATCTGGCACAACTATGAACAGACCATCACCGCTAAAACCATACACACATATTGGAGCAACATATGCTGCCTTTTAGACAACGTCTTTTTCAAGGACTTCCATGGTTATTTCAACACGACAACATCAAACCACATTCTAAATGTGTTACATCAGCATGCCTGCATGATAAGAGAGTACATGTGCTAGAGTTGCCTGCCTGAAAAGGTTTGGGGCATTATGGAGCTCAAAATACAACAATGAAGGCCCTGTACAGTTGTGCAGCTGAAGACTTGTATAACGAAAGAATGCCAAAAAATTCCAGTTTCAAAACTGAATCAATTGGTGTCTTCAGTTCCTAAATGAGTATTGAGTTTTGAGTGCTGTTAAAAGCAATGGTGATGTAACACAGTGGTAAACATGCTCCTTTCCAAACTTTTTTGGAACATGTTGCTGGCGTCAAATTTGGAAGAAGTATATATTTACTAAACATACAAAAAATCTAGAAGGAAAACATAAAATATTGTGTTTTTGCACTGTTCACAATGTAATACAGGATAAGCAGAATTTACTAATCACTGCTTTCTGTTTTTATTAGCATTTCACATACTGTCCCAGTGGTTTGGAACTTCGGAAGTTTGTAATAAGATATTGCCTGTAATAGAAACACTTAAACAGACATTCATAATGTTATTCAAATCTATCTATCTGACACACTGGCCTGTGCTTAAAACGTTGTAGTAACCTCATTTTAGCATGCCAATATTTCTGTTTTCCTTGTTGTGTGATGTCTTCCCCCTTATACACCAAATTAAGCACTTCTAATGTAAAGCAATTAGAGCCACAACATGTGCTTTAACAGATTACTGACTACTGGTCCTCTCTACTGTTCTTCCATCACAGAGTGGCCCTTTAAAAGGTAAAGCTGAAGCCCAAAACCTACCTGAAATAGCACAGTACCTAATCACCTGAATTCCTCAACAGCAAAACATGAAGTTGCAATGTAAGCCCCCTTTGGTTTTCTCTCAGTTGATGGCACTAAGCAGCCCATCCTCTTCCAAGAAACTGTAGCATAACAGGATCACTGACCCCGCGGTCTAGGACAAAGCTGGGTGACTCGTGGCAGACTCATGACTCGCCCAAATCTGCATATGCACGAGCTCCTTCAAAAGTACTGCACTACATCTGTTATCTGTCAAGAGTTTTATAATCAGTAACCGATCATATCAAAGAAAAAGTATAAAAGACTATAAGATATGACCTTTCTCTTTTTCTCAGTCTCTGCTGGACTTATGATTTACTATGGTGAGATACATTCCACCGATTTTTAAAGATTTCTGCTTAATTCCATCGTTATGATGTAAATGGAGGCATCAAGGGGGGTTTGAAGTGAAATGGTGCACTGTAGAGAAACTTTATGACTCTTAAGTTTGTTGCCTTGGTGGTGATAGGAACCAGAGGTCACAATGTCTACAGTGCAAATACAACTGCTTTGTTTACTTACCCAAAACAATCAGTGAACTTACACGTGACTTCTGTTGATAATAGTAAAATAGTTGTATAATCATGTTCTTTAGGTACCACTTTGCCACAAAACACCCTACGTATACCTCTCAGGCATGAATGGATTTCAAAAAATACAAGGCCAAAACCTTATCTAAAACTAAGTAAGTAAATAAGTTGTAAAACAGTATCTCAGGCATTCGTAAGCGTTTCACATAATTTTTTGTGAGGCAGCTTTTAAAGACATTAAACACCTCAGACGTCTGGTTCCTATCCCCACCACTGTAAACGGTGTCTCATTTTACCCCTCACAGAAAGCCGTTACATGCAATGATTATTAATACACTACCTGATGCCTGAGACATTGTTTTGTGGTCTAGTTTTGCAATACGAATCTGGCCTAAAACATATTCTTTGAAAACCATTCATGGCTGCAAGGCAAAATAGTGCTCAAAGAAAACTTATTTTTCAAACTTACCACTATTTTACCATTATCACCATTAAATGGATATAAAAAGACTCGTGTAGATTAAATATTGTTGTTGTTTTTTTTTCCATTACTGGAAATTAAATAAAATAAATGACTGTATTTTTATTGTAGACACTGCTAGCCCTAGTTCCAATCACCACCACTGTACAGAATTCCGAATCAATGTAACTTCTATGTAGAAATTTTGAAAGACGGTGGAATTCCCCTTTAAGGCAGTTCACATTACATAGCAAAACCCCCAGGTTTAATCCTAATGGTTTTAATAGTCTCTGCAGGGTTCATCTTAGCAGTTTAATTATGAGGATATTTTGAAAAACTGATGGAATTGCCCTTTAACTGAGGGTTGAACTTTCAGTCTAGATAAATGATAGTTATAATAACTCCGACTAGCTAATTCAAGTTAAAGAAATCAATAAAACAAAGTGAAATGCCATAAAATCTCGCAAAGATCCTCCGAACTGCAGATGGCAGCCTAGCTGCTCGCTGTTTGCTGTGAGGGGGCGATGAAGAGAGGTCGACCATGTTGAAAAAGGGAAACACAACAAAAGAGACGCGTTGGCTGAGGCGAATTGACCAATTTTGAAAACAATATCTTGCTAAGTCGGTGAATTACCACAACATATACACAAGAACTCATCGTCGAGAGGAGCAGAGGGTAGGTGCTTTCAGCGTAACCGTCGAAAGAATCAAATGAAGGTTATTTGTGCCGCTAACTGCTCCGCTCGCCGAGGAGCCGAAGCTCCGCAGATCTGGACAGACAACATGTCTTCAGACAAACGGCTCTCGACGCTGCTGTGACAGAATGTCGACGCTGTGAAACGAAGTCAAGTTAGCGGACTTTTTAAGTTTGGGCTTAGTTTTCAGATAATTACATATTAGTTTCCTTATCTGTTTTACTTGGCAAACAGTGTGCAGTTCGTTAACTGAGGATAAACGTTTCGTTTTTAAGCGTAGCTAGCGAGCTAGCGGTTAGCCAGTTCGTTAGCTCGGATTAGCTTGGCTAACGTTAGCCAGCTGGCTAGCGACCAGAATTCATCTGGTTAAGTCAAGCAGCACAATAAATAAGCACTGAACTGAGGTGCGTTGAGTTTTGTGCGTGGATAACGGTAGATTTGCTAACATTAAAGGGGAATTCCACCGATTTTCAAAACTTTTGTACAATTAATTGGTTGGGATGTAAACAGATTCATTCAGAATGGTTTGGTGTTACAGAGAAACTTGGCGAATCAGACTTGTTCACTGTGGTGGTGGTGATAGGAACCAGACGTCCACCTCTGAAAGCTGCCTCACAGAAGGTTATTATGTGAAATGGTTAGACATATGCTACCTGATGTCTGGCTCATTGTTTTGTGGTAGTTTTGTGATTGAAGTTTTGGCTTAGAATGTATTTTAATCCATTTATTTTAACCCATTTATGGCGGAGGGGTACCCTACATACAGGGCATTGTAAGGCAAAGTAGCCTCCAAAGAAAACTTTCTTTTTCCAGAATTACCACTGTTTTACCATAATCAGAATTATATATGATCACTCAGAAGACACGTGTAGATTCAGTGGTGGTTTTGGATATTAAATAAAATGGCTATATTTGTGTTGTAGACATTGTGACCCTTGGTTCCTGTCACCACCACCTGTAAAGAAATCAGAGTCTGTAAGTTTCTCTATGATGAACTGTTTCACATCAAACCACTTTGAATGACTCAAGGCCTGAATTATTCAGAAATTCTGAAAAATTGGTGGAATTCCTCTGTAAGAGCTAAATCTGCAAGCTTGCCATACAAGCGAATTTGTGAAAGTTCTCTGTGCCAGATAACTTGGGCTGGAAGACGCAGCAGTTGAACTTCATTGTGTTTGACAGAATTGTAGAGCTGTGCATGCAGTATTGGGTTAAGAGGACAAGCCACAGTAAAAAATAGTTTCGTAGTGATGCTATGAGATACAGTAACATTACTTAAACTTCTTTTTAAAGTTTCCATTGAAACACTGAACAGTTGTACATTGAGCCCTCGTCAGCCTAGACGTGGGGCATGTATTTATGTTAATGCTGCTAACAATTTATGCACAAAATATTTTGACGGCATATAAGTTTTAAAAAAAAATTATATACATTTGCTACCTTCATCTACATTATATGTACCCCGTTGTCTATTTTATCAGCTCCACTTACCATGTAGGTGCACTGTGTAGTTCTTTTAATTAATTCTCATGTACATATATGCTGATTTTTGTTTCTGTGTTTTGTAGGTGACAGAGGCGGAGGTCTAGTTGGAAGACCACAAGGAGGAGAGGATACACACTAAGCTCCACATGCCCACACATTTACTCACACTTGCACACACTCTGACACTGACCCAAGGTCAGCAGTCTCAATCCTCAAAGTTGGGCGAGGCTATTTGAAAGCGTAAAGCTGTACTGTGCTTTGGACTTTTGTCTCTCTGGAGGTTTGCGTTTTCCACAGACTTTACGGATTTTGAACCTCAGAGAAACTGCTTTTTGACAGACGTACAATTAAGCTGTAAAACTGGATAGCGCTTTTGAACAGGACATCGAAAGGATTAAGTCTTGCATATTTTGGAAAAAAAAAAATATTAACGAACTGGAACGAAAGGCCCCAACATAGATAAATACAGAAGCATTTAAAGACTAAGAGAGAGATTGAACTTTTTGAGCCGAAGAGAAGCATTTTGGCAATACGCTCTCCTTAGTTTATCTTGCCTTAGTTGTTCTATTGCAGGAACCTGCTTGTGTATAATTTTCTATACCCTCTGCAGGTGTACTATTTATGCATATAAATGTTTATTTCTCTTCGTTTGGAAGAGCTTTCTTGTTAAACCTATTCTTGTGATGACAGTTGCTCTTATTTGAAGAGGTCACACTGTACATGTACATAAACCTGTTTGTAAATATATAAAGACTTTATCGATATCGAGTTCTGATTGCAGCATTGAGGACATTGTAAATATTTTATTAGAACTTTTGTAAGGCCTAGTGGTCCATTGTAAAAAAGTGAAGAAAGGCGCATCGGAAAAAGCAACAAAAGGAGAAGAGGATGGCTAGTGCAAGGACGGAGAACGTAGGCCCTGTTGTAATGGGGATCAACAAGCAGAATGGGCAGTTCAGAGGGCAGCCTAAGCCGGCCTCTCAATCAGGACCCATTGTTGGAAGTGGTCAGTCTGGAAAGGTTCCTACTGGAGGCCTAAAATCTGCTGGCGGCTCTCAAGAAGGACCTGGAATCAGGTGAGTCTAGCGCTATCTGTTGAAAGGGGAAAAAAAATTCTACACAATGTTAATACATGTTATATTTCTGTTTCTCTTTGCATTGTTACTACTGTTCTATCCTTCTCAGGTTTGGCGATGACTGGAAAAAGAGCCTACAGCTTCCACCCAAAGACAATAGAGTCAGAACTTCAGTAAGTCTTACACTAGCTACGCCTCTTTTTGTTTTTACTTATATTTTGAGCTGTTTATATGTTTATAAGATCTTGCTTTTCTGAAATGTTTTTTTCATTTTTGGAATACCACTTGGTCATTTGCATTATAACACCTTTTACAACTTTTATTTTGGAGTTAACTAAATACATTTATCATTAACTTTTTTTTTGTCTTTTTTACAGGATGTAACTGCCACCAAGGGGAATGAGTTTGAGGATTACTGTTTAAAGAGGGAGCTGTTGATGGGAATCTTTGAAATGGGTTGGGAGAAACCTTCCCCCATCCAGGTGACTGCACGTCTTACTTTACAGTCTCTGAGAAAGCAGTCTCATTAACTAAGCATCAGAAGTTCCAGCGTTAGTCCAGTTTATCTTATCCAGCAGTTTTAAAGAATTCATTTGTTTTTTTGCCTTCAGGAGGAGAGTATACCCATCGCTCTCTCTGGCCGTGACATCCTGGCTCGTGCCAAAAACGGAACGGGAAAAAGCGGGGCTTATCTGATTCCGATGCTGGAGAGGATAGACCTGAAGAAAGACCACATTCAGGGTAGAGTGGCCTTTTTATCTCACTAGCATCCTGCACAGATTTAGATGAAGCAACTGTTTTGCATGTAGGCCTGTTTTTTCATCACCTCCATCAATGAAGGGAAAAGATTTTTTTTTAATCCTCTCCTGTGCTAATTTCAGTTTTTCTCTCTGTTTATAGCCTTAGTACTGGTGCCCACCCGTGAGCTTGCTCTACAGGTCAGTCAGATCAGCATCCAGCTCAGTAAGCATCTAGGTGGAGTCAAAGTTATGGCGACGACTGGTGGGACCAACTTACGAGATGACATCATGCGTCTGGATGAGACTGGTAATAATTTGTCAGATGACTTAGTGCAGATAAATTAAGCATTTGCCAGTGTAAAGCACAGTCCTACTATGTTCCTAGCATTTAAATGATTAGGACTAACTTTACAGGACCAACTTCACAGAAGGACACTCTTTTCGCAAGTGTATTTACTCGCTAGAACAATTCTTTGTAGACATAGAATTTCTGTTAGAAAAGCCACTTCAGTTACCGCTCAGTGATTACAAAGAATCATCTGTGTTTTGCACGGTATTATTATGTTTTATTATTTTTTTTTTTTAATGTTTGCTGGATTGTTTTGCAGTGCATGTTGTGATAGCTACACCAGGCAGGATTCTGGACTTGATCAAAAAGGGAGTTGCAAAAGTGGATAAAGTTCAAATGATGGTTATGGATGAGGTGAGTGATCATGGATCTTACTGACATAAGCACTAAATGTACATAAGGACAGAAGTAGTTAATGTGTCTTAGCATAATGAATGTAGTAGTAGTCAGTGCTGTCATATGCATAAACTACTGTGCAAAACTATAGATGATGCCATGATCAGAGATAAACATAAGACTAATTGTACAATACCTGTAGGCCATTGCCTGTATTTGGATTCCCCCTCCCTCCCCCCCTTTGCATTTTATGTCACCTTAAGACAACGTTGTCACGTTTCAGACATCACACAAAGCTGTTTTTGAGTCTCAGGAAAAACGTCATGTCTCAGCTCTCATACATTTGGCCTCAGACACAAAGGCAACAGGTTAACCAGCCACAGCTTCAGACAAAACAGTGACAGTTGTGTGACTTTAGTAAATCTGTTCCTTTTTACAAGATTAATTACAGTGCTGGGACCAAATGAAAGATGACAGTATTCTACGACCTCAGCTTTTACAGAACTGCACTATTACGTTTTATTGTCTGACACAAAAATTAAGCTTCAACTTGCACACTGTCACTGTGTATGTGTGTGCCAGCATCTGATTTCCTGTTAGGTATAATCACAAAATTCCTGTAAGTCAAAATATTGCTGCTGTTGTTTTTATTTATTGTTATAACTGTTGTTGTGATTAGTGCTACATATAAACGCTTTGTGGAAATAAGAAAAAATATATAGGAAAGAGCTTTCAGAACATAATAGTTGGTTAAACAGTTGACACTCTAGTCTGCTTTTACCATCCCTTGTCCACGAGGGCACATTCTCAGAATTTCTCTCTCTCTCTCTCTCTTTCTCTCAGGCTGATAAGTTGCTTTCCCAGGACTTTGTGGTGCTTATTGAGGACATTATTAGCTTCTTTGCCAAGAACAGGCAGATTCTACTCTATTCTGCCACCTTTCCCATCAGTGTACAGAAATTCATGGTAAGGGGTGTAGAGGTTAGTCTGAACAATTAGTTTTAATAGTAATGAACATGCTTGCATATTTAAGGCCACCCTGTGTTTTCCTTCTCACAGGCAAAGCACCTGCAAAAGCCCTATGAGATTAATCTGATGGAGGAACTAACCCTAAAGGGCATCACCCAATACTATGCCTACGTCACTGAGAGGCAGAAAGTGCACTGTCTTAACACACTCTTCTCAAGGGTAAACACGCACTGTGATTTTGACATGACTTGGTTTATTTGAAACATGAATTGACTGTTAGTCAATACACTGTGCCTTTTTGTTTTCTTCAATACAGCTGCAGATTAATCAGTCAATCATCTTCTGCAACTCCACTCAGAGAGTGGAACTCCTGGCCAAGAAAATTACCCAACTGGGCTACTCTTGTTTTTACATCCATGCCAAAATGATGCAGGTGAGTTCAACTCTGTCTGTATCTGTGTTGTACTGATTGGGAGTTGATTAGCAGATGCTCTGTTTTATGTGAATTTTACTTAAGAAACTAGTCAGACTTTTTTGTGTTCATGGATTTGTTGTCTTTGTTTTTACTACAAGTATTGAGAATTCTAACTGGGTTGTTTTTGACTGTGCCTTTTCTTTTTTTGGCAGGAGTACCGAAACCGTGTTTTCCATGACTTCAGAAATGGACTGTGCAGAAATCTTGTCTGCACAGGTACATCTCTATTCTTAAATACACTTAGTCACAAAGTCTGAAAATGTTTAAAATGGAGTTGCGCTCATCTTTTTGAATTTTTTTACTCTTTTATGAAAAGGGGTTGTTTTCAGTGAACAAATAAAAACATTCTTTTAAAGTGTTCTGCAAGTATTTCGATTTGGAGTTTTAAAGGTGGAGTTGTACCTCATTATTGAGTATCTGCTCCTTACAGATTTGTTCACCAGAGGAATTGACATCCAGGCTGTGAATGTGGTCATCAACTTTGACTTTCCCAAGAATGCAGAGACCTATCTGCATCGCATTGGGCGCTCAGGTGATATATCAGTCCAAATTCACATACAACTTGCCAATTCATTCTCTACTTTTTTTTTTATGTCAAACGTAAATTTGTGCTGTAATTTTCTTACATAAATTCAAACTCAGAAGCTTCTAATGTTCAAAGTTACTTGATCGTGTTCCACTTAGGATCTGACAAACTAAATGTTAAACCAAGAACCCCAGTCTGGAGTCAGTCCTTGAGTAGATTTAATAATCAGTAGAACTAGAAGTGAACAATAATCAATTATTCAAAAGCAGATTGTATAATAAAGAGGACAACAGTAAACATTGTCTCCTTTTTTTTTTTTAATCATCTTTAGGGAGGTTTGGCCACCTTGGTCTTGCCATTAACCTGATCACAGCAGAGGATCGCTTTAACTTGAAGGCCATTGAGGACCAGCTGGTGACTGATATCAAGCCAATCCCTGGCAGCATTGATAAAAGCCTGTATGTGGCAGAGTACCACACAATGAATTCTGAGGCGGAGGCAGAGGAGAGGGAGCAACTGGCAGGGAAACTTCAAACTTCCTAAGTAAGTATGTGTGGGTGTGCCTTGCCATGTGAGAGCATGTCTCTATATTTGAACAGACATATTAGAGATTCTAATGGGTGATGGAAACAAGTTTTTTTTTCTTTTTTTTTGTCCCTTTACCTTTTGTGCTGTGCATATTTTAAGTAGCAAAATTAGTAACTTTTTGCTTTTTGCTCTCCTTTCCTCAGAACAATAAGAGAAACAAACCTGGCTTTGCACAAACATCAGCGTTTGCACACCACCGTTTGGCGTTGAACTTTTTTTTTCTTTTGTTGTGAGGGTCTTTCTTCCTCCTTCCCATCTCCCTCCCCATGTGCGGTTAAATTTTGTGCCCTGAAACCTGGCAGTAGTTTTTGTTTACTTGTTATTTCAAAAATGTATGTCAAGACTTGATCATCAGCCAGACTTGTATTATGCTTTGCACCAGGACTTGAGGTTGACTTTGAAGGAACAAACCTATACATTCCAGAGTCCATTTGAAACTTGCAGTAAAAAGAATCAATCAAGACATGCAAGTCCAGGTTTACTTGATAGTGAAACACTTGCAAACACCTCTGATAAAAAATAAATAAATAAATAAAAGCAAGAGGGGGGGAAAGTGCACAGGCTTAATTCTGTAGCTTGGGTGTTATTGCTTGTTTTTTACTACATATAAGTTGAAGAGAAGAGAGAATGCTCAAGTTCAAGTTCTTAGTGGATACAGTTCTATTCACTGGCTACAGGAGTATAAAACTGCCACAGCCTGCCAGATACACAAACATTTTTTTACTCACTTAAGTGCCTTAACATGTCTCCTCAGTTGCAGGCTAACTAAAGACTCTAGATGTATCTATAATAAAATATATATGCTAAAGTATGAACAACTGTTAGAATGTCCCAGGCTTAAAGACTGCACCTTTTTAAAAGAAAAGTTACTGGTGGTGCTAGTTGATATTAAAGGATGCCAAGGAAGGTACTTACCAACGCTAACCTTTCATGTATTAGAGCGCCTCCTTGCGAGCTATCAGATGTGTTAAAACTGAAAAGACCATATGAACAGAGTTTATATAAACTATAAACGGAAGGCACATATCTAACAAACTATAAATGAAAGGCATCTTGTTCCAGTTGGTGCTTTTGACAGCTGGCCTTTAACATCACTCACATGATTGTTGCACCAACTGTCCAAGTAATTTGTTGCACTAATTGGAAAATCACAGCAAGCTCAGAAGGAAGCTCTAAATTTCAACCTCCTACTGCTTTTGGACATAATGCACCTGTCTGGGGATATTTTGCAATAAGACACGGCAGCTAAAGATGATCTTTTTACCTCCTTGAAGGTTTGTTATTGTTGTTGAGTCAAGCCTTTTTAATGTTTCTAATGTTGGGATTAAAATTCCTGGGCTCAGCGCAGCCACTGGGAGCAGCCTAATGTCAAGAGGAGAATTTTTTCAGACATCTTATTGCAGACTCAAGTTTTAATACTAAATGTAGAGCATCCAACTGCAAATGAGTCGCATAACAGATTGTGAATAAGTAAAGATCTGAACACTGTGGAGACACATACTTTATCAGAGGTGTTTGCAGGTCCATTTAAATGTTTAGAGGACAAGATTGTTTTCCCTCCCCCTTTTTTTCCTTCTTTATAAACGTTCTGCATGCAAAGCATATGAATTAATTTTACGAAATAGATTTCAGGCTCGGTTGTATTTTTTTTTGTTTTTTTTGTTTTTTTTTTCTTGTCTTGCATATTGGTGAATGTCTGAAAACTAGTAGCATAAATGAGTCAACAAATTTGAGAAAGTCGTGTTTTTTTTTTTGCTTTTTTTTTTGCTTTTACTTTAAGCAGCTTTATCATTTCTTTATAAATATGGAAGATTTTTTTCCCTAAATGGCTTTTCTAAAATGTGCGTTTCATTTCTAAATTACAGAATATGTTCAGATTGAAATAAGAATAATTATTTTAAAGCAAAACTGTAGCATCTTCTAACTGTGGCAGCTCTAATTGTCCCCCCCCCCCTTTGAGAATATTTTCACTGCAAAATTAACGCAAAGAAAAACTACTTTTTTTGCAGAGTGAATCTCCCCCCCCCCATCCTTCTCTGTTTTGGCCATGATGCTTTCTGAGCCAGGCGGGACAGTGTGTAGCTCCGTGCTCTGGTGCAGAAACATCAGTTAGCTTTTTTTTCTTAGCTGTAAATAAGCCTAGTAAAGCTTTTGGCTTTTGTGAATAGCTGACTTTGCCTCAGCGGTGCTATGCTGATGTGCTTAAGTCAGTTACGGATGAAACTTCAGTTCGGAATGACCGTTAGCATAATTCTGTCCTTCAAGCTTTATACTCTGGCAACTCTTTTTATGTAAAGCGCAATGCAGAAGGGCTGCACAAAATGGCTGAAATTGGCCCGTGATTTTATTGTTTCATATTGTGATTATTGTCTCATCTTGCAATTGCGATGCATTGCAATATATTAAAATGGTATTGGTGAGCCAGAAATGTGACATGAAACTCTAAACACTGGCCTGCTTATTTTGTTTAGAGGCTTATTTACCTGTTTTCAAGCCTTGATGATATCAGTACCGGAACGGCCAGCGTTGCGAAAACTTTTAGCAGTATGTTGTGCTGCCCTAGTGTAGATCACAGCTTAAAACAGTATGTCCTGTTTTGAGAGCAGAATTATTCTCAAGGTCTTTTTTCCCCTTTGTTTTCTTCTCAATGCACATTGTTACTACTAATAGTGAAACTGTGCATTTTACATCTATAGAGTGATTGGCTGGGTTTTCTTTTTCTTTTTCTATCGGCAGCATCTTTCTTAAGTACTGTTTGGACAGGGATAGTTTTACATGGGCAGGTATGGTAATGTAATTCATGCTAGCAATAGTTAGATGAACGTAATTAGGATTAAACTCAATGTTTGGTATGTTTTCTTTTTGTGGACAGCCAAACATTTTGCCTATAGAACGTTTTCTTTATTGGCCGTTCTGTGGTAAAATTGCATTACCCCACCTCCTTATGGAAAATTAATACCAAATAGTTCTTTTGAGAGATCGTGACTGATTTCTGTATGAATGTAAACCTGGTGTACAGTTTACAAAAACATGGGTAAACAAATGGGTGTGAGGTCTTGGAAGTTTTTTTTGTTCAGGTGGGTGGTAATACTGACTTTCAGGACTCAAGCATAACCAAAAAGTGTGTGTGTGTGTGTGAGAGAGAGAGAGAGAGTGAGAGTGAGTGGTGTGTGTGTGTGAGAGAGAGAGTGAGAGTGAGTGGTGTGTGTGTGTGAGAGAGAGAGTGAGAGTGAGTGGTGTGTGTGTGTGAGAGAGAGAGAGAGAGAGAGAGAGAGTGAGAGTGAGTGGTGTGTCTGAGAGAGAGAGTGTGTGTGTGAGAGACTGAGTGGGAGAGTGAGAGCAGGTGTGTGTTATGTACATTTATTGAAAATGCTGCATTTGTTATCCTGTATGTCAATACATTTGCAGATGTGGGTGTGTGTTCATGCACGCATGCTTGTGTGTGTGTGTGTGAGTGTGAAGAAGTCCATTATGTCAGTATCAGTAATTACAGCTGTGGCTTTGTTTTTTTAAGGGTGACAAAAATCTGAGCCAGTATCCTTGCAGAAACATTTAATGCAGGTTAGTTGTAAAGCCCACACTGACGTATGCCAGCTGTGTTATTTGCAAAATTTTGTTTGAGGTAATTCCTCAGTTCTTACTTTTGTAACACTGTGTATAAGAATTCATCGCCTCCGAATATTGTCGAACACGCACAGTGAATCCTCTGAACCTCGACTTCGCCAGTGAAAAAACATCACTGTCAGTTTGCGAAAGTCGTGAATTTACATTGTAAAAGATTTACTGTTTCTGAACCAACGCAAACATTCTGTTCATCACAATTTGATTGGCTTGTTTGGGGTGAGCATTTTTTTGTGTTGTTGGGGGGTGTTGTTTGTTAAGGGGATGGTGGGGTCTTGCTAAATATTTTTTGTTTATGTGCTGTAGACATTGTAATGCAGGTAAATTGGAAAAAAACAGCAGCGTCTGCAGCAGTGATAGAACAAAAGTCAATGGAAAAAATTCTCAGCATTATGTTTTGTAGTTGTACGCTAAATTGTACACACCTCAACGACTGTCTCTGAATTTTGTTTTTTGTTTTGTTTTTCTTTCCTCCCCCTCTCACCCTTCTGACTGCCACAGAGTGACAGAGCTGTGTTCACTGAAACCATAACAGGACTGGGGTGTATCGTGGGTTTTATTTTTCATCAAAAATCTAAGAAAAGCATACTTTCCCTGTTCGTTAGAATGAGTTACTGTTTAGAGCATTGATTTGAGTGCCAGATTTCAGAAGTTTTAATATGTTTTCCACTATGGATATCATCCTGAACTTTTGGTATGTTGTTCACTGTGTTGGTGACCACATCCACACCTAAAGGAATAACTTTTTGGGGAAAGTGACCCAGAGTGTTATATATTCTGTAGAAATATTTAGAAAATTTTTTTTTTTTTCTCTCTCTCTCAAAGGAAGACAGCACCCTTCCAGCACATGGCAGAAATGTTTGCCTGTATGATCAGATCTTCTTGATGTTATTGCACACCCTTTATGAAAGCAGGTTTCCTGTGAACTGCTCTCTCACTCTCACTTGGCAGTGTTTTAAAGTGAAACCAATGCAGGGGAGTTGTTTGACTGAAATAAAACCATTACCTGCATCTCAGTTCCTGTGTTTTAATTTCACCTTTTCATGTGTCTGATGTTTAGATAATTTTGTTTTGAGTTGTAAGAAAACGGATTTCTTGAACTTATTTGAATGTTTTGTATATTAAAGGCGAGCGTTAATGCACTGCACTATTTGTTCTCAGTTAAGGCTGGGGTAGTGATGGCATGGCATTACTTTCTACTTTTACTGAAATGGAATCTGCGAGCATCAGCCAATATTTTAGAAACTACTGCATTTTAAAATAAACTATGTGATGCATTTCACTGAAGATGACCGTGTAAAAGTAGGCTTTTATGTCTAAAGTAGTCAAATACTGCACTACCCCACATGAAGAAATAAACAGCTAACAGTATCACATCACGCAAAGTATGTGGTGTTACAGGATTTGGTCAGATTCATTGTTTTCACTATCCAGGACTGTGTTTGCTGCTGATTTCAGCCTGATACTGATGTAATCTGTAGTGAGGACGCAAGAATCGAGAAAGAGGTCCTTTACTCAGTTGTCACTTTTATTAGCTGGGCTTAAAGTATCTGCCCGTAATAAATGCTTATATTGTACTATCAACTGACATTTTACATTAGTATGCTTTATTGAAATTCAAGTACGTCAACCATTTATTTAACATTTATCATCGCTTTACCCTGCCATTACTTTAAATCATCAAATGAAAATACAGTTGGAGTTGGAGAAACTGTATCACAGATCTAAATTAGGTGCTACAACAAAAAAAGTCCTCCATGTTAGATGCACCTTGTTTCCTTGCTCTGGAATTCGCTCTCCTTGATTCTTCCAAATGCATTTAAAGAATTGGCATGTTCTTAAAGATGGTAGATTTTAGTTGATTTCTGGGTTATGGGCTGAAGGATAGAGGAGAGAGCAAGCAAAGTGTCATTGATATGAAGCACCAAAACTGCTAACACCCCCTTGTGGAGAATCTTCAGGCTGCTAAATGTGAGTGCCAGGTCCATAAAGTGCTTTGCATCTAATAAAAAAAGAAAGTATCAGTGCAGCACATTCGGTTCTGAAGAGTAGATGTCCAACCCTCCATCTTAGTCCCTGTACGCATATATATGTCTCTCATCCCATAGACGAAAATAATAACATTACCAAGAATAACAATAAAAATGCTCGTCTTATTTTTATAGTATGCATGTTGTTTGAAGAGCCTACAAGTGCAGTAATGTGTACCTCATTAGTTAAAGCCTGGCCTAAATTGTAGAGCAAATTATCTAGGATAGAGGAGGCTTCCAGGATTCCACGGTTTGGAAAAACAAATTTGGCATCGATTTCTCCGTCATCACATCTTATCCCTGCATCTCTTCCTTTGGTTCCTGAGGGAGGAACCCGGACGCAAGGAAAAGTTACAAGAGAAAGAAAGTATAACACACAGTTAAAGATGTGAGAAGCACCTGGGGGTGAGCGCACTTTCAAGTTGCTCCCCCACCTAACACAGGCTTAGACAAAGCAGTTATGCCTTTATGCAAACTAAACAGAGTGTGGTTACAACCACTGATTTGTTATTATAAAACCAAAGTCATTGGTTAAGTTCAGCCAGCAAAGATAGACGCATCACGTGCATCTGCAACGGTCACTTTCAGTGAAGCCTAAAGCCTCGGAGGTTCCGAAATAAACTCCAAAATGTCATTTATTGCCCAGTTTCACTTCCACTACCCAAGACAGCACCATGTCCTGTTACGTAATTAGGAGACTGGCATGGCCCTTATCTCAGGTCACAACAACCTTCACTTAGAATGTCCTTGAACGTCCATGATGTCCTTGAAGAGAAGAAACACCACAGGCCTCGCAGAGACAAAAGCCAAAGAAATACGTTCCTAGGTGTTCCAATATATTCTTAGGAATAATATTGTGGCAGCTGCCACTAGCTCCATGTGCAGAAGGGAACTTTAGAGGCAAAGTATGCGCCTCATGTTCCTAACCCCGGTTAAATACGTTTTTGTTATTGTTGCTGCTGCTGTTTTTGTTTGTAGGGTTAAGTTGTGTATGTGTTTATGGTGTGTTAATGTGCAGGGCGTGGGTTAAGTAGTGAAGCTACATTGCTAGAATTGACCGTCCCTCCTATTCCGGCTGTTTTTCAGTGGCCTTTTCTGCCTTGTTCAATAAAAAGCGCTTTTAATAATCAGAAATTATAGTCTTCTCTTATTTGTTTCCGCCAAGATGCCACAATACATTAAAAGATATGAATTTGATTACAGGAGACAAAGCATAACTCTTCACTCTCCAGTTTCAAGGCCAAATGGGACCCCGAATCTCATGTTGACTTTTATAGAAATGGGAGTAATGACAACTATGAGATCAACTGTTTCTTCATCTCAGCAGTGAACATGCTGGAGTGTATTGCAGAACAATCACAGTAGTGTAGAAAAACTTGTTGAAATAGACAAGGCAAAAGCTTTCAAGAGAACTAAATCAATTTAGCTTAGATTTAGTTAGACGGCCAAAATAAGCCGATTTGGAAGCATCAGCTTGAGTCCTTAAAGTGTATTTCGACCCATTTTTCTCTCTGCATAGTAGCTAAGATGTTGACAGTCATTTCGAGTGGTTTGATGTGAAATGATTCATTGTAGATTTCTTTACAGTGGTGCTGATAGGAACCAGGGGTTGTGATGTCTACAATTTATATAACCAATTTATTTAAAATCCAAAACCACCAATGGACATACGCTTGTCTTCTGAGTTTTTATATGCAATTTTGATCATGTTAAAATGGTAGTAAATCTACCATTGGTTTCTTTTGCCTTGCAGTAACCTGCATGTACCTCTTTGCTTTTCATTAATTTAGAAAAATACATTTTAGGCCAAAATCCCATCTCAAAATTATCGTAAAACAATGTCTGAGACATCAGACAGCATTTAATGCAATACCTTTCTGTGAGGAAGACTTTAGAGGCAGTAACCTCTTTAGATATCTGGTTCCTATTACAATGACTGTGAACAATTCTGACTTAGTGAGTTTCTTGAGAATGGAGAATTTCACTTCAAACCACTCTAGTAGTCTCTCATGGTTTGTGTGTGAGTGCACCATGGATTGTCCAAGGCAGGACTCATGAATGAAGGCCTTCAGTGTTGGGCTTCAGCTAATGCTGTACACTGATACTGTGGCTTTATGATGAATCCCCTCAGTCCAGGGACCAGCCTAAGTCCTTCTCTTTCATGCAGGGACCTTTCAGCTATCAAAGCTGTGAAAACAAATCTTTGCTAAGTCCTCAGCAGAGCAGGGTCTCAACAGACATGCCTGAATTCACCTTAAGATATTATATCAATGAACCTGTCATGGCTGGTAACACAAAGTGGCATCAATAGGCTACATAACTGATATTGCAGTTTGGCACAAATTAATTTATTCATTTAAACATAAAACTCCCTGATGTTAAAGAAAGGCCAGACAGAAAGAGGCTCCTAAAATTGTAGCAGACACTGATTGGCTACTGTTTGCACTGTTTATGAGCAAAGATCAATTATGATACCGAGCCAAAGGAACTAGAGATGTAGTTCTCTATATGGATGATTCTGCTGTATTGGTTCAAAGTCAGAGTTGAAAAAACATCTCAGAGTTTCAACTGACTTGGACTTTATACTAAAATCCTTTGAGTGACGGTAAACCTTAATTAGGTTAGGTTTATTTTATTAAAATAAATGATTCAACATTCCATTGTGCCACAACCAAAACTATCATAACACCACTGAAACTTTACCAAATGTTTCAGTAGTGACTGTTTTAGTAGTGACAATTTTAGCCTATTTAGCTTATTAGCTTACAATTTTAGACAATTCTGAGCATAACTACATGACATGACTAGCATACATAGCATTGAACAGTTGTACACACATAAAATCATAGCACTTTTCATTAAACACAAACAAGTTTACTTAATTGCAAAAAAATGTGTCTCCGTAGTGACAATTTTTAATGTTACACACTGATTTGCAGACTTTAGGACACATTCATTTCATAACAATGGACTCTAACTGCTCAACAATGTGGCCATGAGAGACAGGGATGCAGTCTCACTTCCTGCTCTAAAATGCAGGGGTGTGGCTAAAATAAGCTCCGCCTATGCACTAACACTTCTTTTTTGATCTTTAAAAAAAATACTACATTTATGTAAGTATTATTTTTACACGTGTAAATTTAGGCTTCAGCCTTTGGGTCAGATATATCCCAACATACATGTATCATGTGCAAGAAATATATATGCAACACACAGTAAAACTCTTTACTAGAATGTACTCTATAAATGATGATTTTGTCTATAATTTACTAATTTCTATCTCAATTAATGCCCAGGGTTTCAGTAGATCATAACATAATCCTTGTACATATCTAAGGTCTGAATACTTCATTGTTTTATTAAATAGGTTTTTTTTTACTGAGGGATCCTTGATGTGGAAAAGAGGTCTGATGTGCTGTAGCTATGTTTACAATTAACTAGAATGGCCTGAATACATCTATAGCGAGGACACCATGACGTCACAGGGCAGTTTAGGCCAGGCCGGGATGGTGATCTGCTTTGGTGTTCTGCTCTAACTGCAGCTTACACTCCAACAACACTGATTCCAGTGTGGCCAAAACAGGAGGCAAACAACAGCCTCTCTCACCACTCAGCTCCTCCAGATCTAAGAGTGTCCTTGGCATGCACTGTAAACAAAGCTACAGCACATCAGGCCTCTTTTCCGCATCAAGGATCTAATCCAGTCATAGAAAGATGAGCAAGTTAAGCAAAGTCACAGTCTATAATACTGTCGGATACAAGCACTTAGGCACCCCTACTCAAATAACATGTCTTGTTGATTTTATAAGTGAAAATACACACATCCTCTACAGAGAACACACTTCCACACATTTTGAAGCACTATTACTGTTTATTTGCTAAGATGAACATACTGGGTAAAAAAAAAATCTTCTAAGCCACTTATCCGTCTGGGTCGCAGGAGGAGCCAGAGCCTATCCCAGCAGTCATTGGGTGGAAGGCAGGATACACCCTGGACAGGTCATATTTAAAAATATGAGTAATCTAAATTGAAATCTCATCTAATCTACAGAACCATGGTAAACTCTGGTGGTGTTTGAGAATGTTCCCTTCTGTCCTTCCCCACTGGTCCACCGAGGGCTTGCCAGAGGTTTGTCTTGAGGGTTTGTCCCCAGCTCTCCGGAGTGTTTCAGTTTCACCTATGAAAGAGGCAGCTAATCAGAACAGACACATCCAACCACACACCTATATATATCAGTACATAAACTTTTTCCATTCCCATTATTAAAATACAAAGTAGTGGGTGGGAAATGGGGAAAAATACATTTTTGGTTCATAAAACCACACAAACATTATAAGTGAACTTCATGAGAAAAATAAAATAAAAAGGTTGGAAGTTTTTCAATGTTTTCAAATGTCTTAATTCGGGGACATATTATTGTTTTCAGTATATCTGAAGAAAAACTGACCTAAATAATAATTTACTTTTAAAACAGCAAAATAGCCGCTGTTAGCAGAAGGACCTTTGAACAGCTTATTTTTAGGTTTTGGTTTTTGATTTAGTTTCAGTTAGTCTTAAGCGTACATTAATAGTTTTAGTTTTGTTTTTATCTTCTGGAAAGTAATAGTTTCAGCTCAGTTTTATTTCGTTTCAGTTTCAGTGTTTAATATTTTGAAGAATGCTGTCATAGTTGCTGTTTGATAAGGGCAGACGGAAATGAACACACAGCAGACTGAGCTCTGCTCAGCTCCAGCTTGCCTCGAACACAAATAGATGAATAAATGAATAAATAAATAAATAAATAAACAAACAAACAAACAATTTAAAAAAATTAATGGTCATTCTCTCAGGATTTTTTTTTCATTTTAGGTTTGCAGCGATCATAATTATTTTCGTTTTCATGTTTTTAAAAGGTGTCGTTTTTACTTTTATTACAGTCAACAAGCCTATTTTTTCACTGCTAGTCATTGCAGTAATAGTTAAGGTTAACTATAATCTGATTCTTATAAGAACTGTCAATAAATTAACCGGTCAGTGTGCCTTGTGTAATTCGAGGTTTAAAAACAGTTTATGTGAATCTATCGCCGATAGTCAGTGAAATACTCCTGCTGCATAAAATGAACCTTTCATTAGAAAGGGCAGTGTGGACGCCCTCTACTGGCAGCGCCATTCATTTCCCTACAGGGGATTTTTTTTTTTAAATAATGGATTAAATGTAAAAAAGCTGGAACTTTTGTAAACCAGCCAAGCGAAACAATAATACCAAAAAGAAGCACGGATACAACCTAACAGCAGAAATTTTAATTTGACGATTAAAATACAATTGAACTACAAAACCGATGACCTTCTGCTGGCGTCGCATCGCGGGGTGTGTGGGAGTGACGTAATCTGCGCGACAGAGTTTGTAGTCCGTTTTGGGGGAACACTTACATCTCCTAAAACATGTTACTGTCAGTAAATCATTCGGAACGTTGACTCTGGGGAACATAACTGAGGTTTAGGGTGACACGGCTCGTTATACTGTACAGTCTACTCTGTGGTAACGACACATTTTCCCGTCTGCTCGGTGATAGACAGTCGCCAGAGCTTCTATTGTCCAATCACAGAGCACCATAGCTAAAGTGGGCGGGGCGTGAGGGTTTGCGGCGACCTTTCATTACCGGGTGAGGACTCGTCCTCTGCGAGACGTGCAACGTGAGTAAATCTCCATTCATTATTGCTTTAGTATTTTTATACAGGACATAATAGATGTGTTAAGGTCTTTAGAGAGCGCCCGAGAACAAATCCCTCATTCTCACACTTTAATGGGCCTCATAGCAGAGCAGTGGTCTCAGTCGTCTCATGTCATTCAATGGCACACGTGTGTATGTGAGAGAGAGAATTAGTCAGTAGCTAACGAGGCTGCAGTCAGATTCCTATTCCCAGGCTTCTCGTTCCCATTTCCACGTTCCACCTTAAATGGTTCGCAAGTACATTCTGGCGGCTGAGGCGGGATAATAATAACTGCTTCACCCTTTAAGGTGGAACGGGAAAATTCGAATAAGAAACCGACTTCAGCTTCGTCAGTAGCTGCAGTCCTTGACAGACTCTGAACAGTAAATTCTCTGACAGTCAGTCATGTGAATAACCAACTGTCGTGCCAAATATTTTAGTAATGTATGTTTTTACTTTTATTTATTTTTTGTATTTATTTATTTATTTATTTATTTCATTTTATTTAATTTTTTCCATCCTTGCTAAAGCTTTCCTTGCTTCCCCATTTGTAAAACCCTCCCTTCTGTCTGTCTCTCTCTGCTTTTCTCTATTCCTCTCTACTCCTCTCTATTCTGTCTCTCTCAGTATGGGTAGTGTCCTGGCCGCCAGTTCACCCAGTCCACCCCCACCAATGCCAGGTGGCCCGGGCTTGACCTCAGTGCCCCCTGGCTTCACCATGCCCACAGTGTCGCCCGTCTCGCCCACTGGCAGTGCTGCTGCTGGGCAGCAAGAGACAGAGGTGACGCTTCCCAACCCGGGCGCCTTCGAGGAATGTCATCGCAAATGCAAAGGTGAGCGAGATTTGTTCTGTGTCTTTGGTTCAGAGTAGAGTTTTATACAGGCCTGATGTTTTGGTTCAAACCTGAATTTAGCCTGAGAATTTTCTATACGAGTTCTAGCCGACCCACAGCACCAAGCTGACATGTTTCCAACAAATGTAGCGATTTTGTCTGGAAAATATCTTAAAATAGCTTATTTTACAAGCAGAGGCTCAACTCTTGGTGGCTCTTTTTAAATTAATTTTAGTACAGACACAGCAAGGCAGTAACTACAGAAATAATGTTTTAATTATTATGTGCAAGTCATATTTTACTTCAAACATTTACTGCATATATCATTTTTGTGGTCTTTTATTTTCTGTGTGAAATATAGCTTCCAATATGTCTGAACTCCGCAGGATTTTGTTAGTTATGTACATGTGGGTGTGGAAATAAAGAGAGAATGTTAGAATTTTGAATGTTTTAAGATAATGAAAATTTATGACATGTAAATTTAAAGGGGAATTTTCAAAGTTTTTTCAAAGTTTCTGCATTAGCCAGTCATGGAGATGTAAACAAAGTCTTTCAGAGTGGTTTGACGAGAAATGGTTCCTTTCCGACATGGTTTTCTTTACAGTGATGTGACTCCTGGTTCCTGTCATCAAGTCTGCAATGCAAAACTAGCCTTTTTATTTACTATCAAAAGGACGAGTGAACCTACACTTGTCTTCTGAGTTTTTATGTGTAATGTTAATAAAGTTTAATAAATAATAGTGCAGATTTTCCTTTAAGTACCATTTTGCTTCACAACGCCCTCCATGAATGTGTTTCATCTTATCTCAGAACGACCACAAAACAATTTCTCAAGCATCAGGCGCTGGATTCATAACCGTTTCATGTAGTACCTTTATGTGAGCTTTTAGAGGCTTTAAACTCTTCAGACGTCTGGTTCCCATCACCACCACTGTGAACAACTGTGAGAAATTTTCTGAGTCAGAATGGAGCACTTCACAATAAACCACTGTGAATGACTTTGTTTACATCTTAATGATTTAATTATGCAGAAAGTTTGAATAATAATTGAATCGCCCTTTTAAGCAGATTTGTGACATTGACCAGGTTAAGGCCTTTGTACAAAAATTGAATCGTGGGTTGTGTAGTTTTGTGGTCTCATGGATCTGTCTGCCTCTCAGAGGTTTTCCCCATGCAAATGGAGGGAGTTCGGCTAACCGTCAACAAAGGCCTCAGCAACCATTTCCAGGTCAGTCTGTTGTGTCTGATTGCATCAGGCAGGCTTATGTTTTTCCATCTCCCTGGTCTTCCAGTGAGGCTTTAGGCATTCCACACTGACACCAGTTTATTCAGTGAACCTACCTCGTACCTACAATTACTGGCCATTTGATTGGTAACAGATAAACTCCAAATAAATGCACTTTGTAGGTTTACAAGTACTGACTGTAGCTCATCTGTTGCTGCACAATTTTCCAGCCACCTTCTACCTAATCAATGGTATCACCATAAACCACTGCTGAAGAGATTTGGATGGTGGACCATTTTCAGCACAAAAGTGACATGAACATCATAGTAAGTGCTTCACTGGGGCACTGAAACAGGGCTGAACATTTGGGCGACAATACCTAATTATGATTCTTCTAACCAGTATTGCAATTGCTTTCATTAAATTAAGCACCAGGGCTTTTTTGCCAAGACAACCAGCAAATCCATTCTTTTTTCTGGCTTAAGTGCTGAATGCAACTGTGAATAATGTAGCATAAGATTTAAATTGAGGCTTTTGCGAATTGAAAACTACACTCTTTTTCAAACTGCCGCTTTGATATAAAAACCATTCATCATTTAGCTACTTATATTGTAGATGTACCTAATAAAATGGCCAGTGAATGTAGGAACAAGGAAAATGTAGATCTGTAAATCTAGTAATAAATTCTGTGTATAACAAGGTATAAAAAGTCATGTAAAATGTTATTTGCCTTTTTTAGCCATAGTGCTGTGGCCCAGGATGTCTCCTGGTTCTGGCCTCACCTTTCGTTTTGATAAGAACTGAATTTAATTGCTTGTCGAATTTTGTGCGTCTTCACAGGTTAATCATAACATCATGCTGAGCACCCTGGGAGACTCCAGTTACAGATTTGGTGCTACCTATGTTGGGACCAAGCAGACAGGACCTGGAGAGGTAAAATGCTTTATTAGTTGCTTCTCACAGTATCAGGTGTGCAGTTGATGTAGGAGGCATTTTGCTAGCCATGATATCTCAAGGCTCCTCTTCAGTGCTCCCTCCTGCACAATCAAATCACCCTGACTAGACTGTACTGACACGCCACAGCTTACATGTAAGCCATGCAAATAACAACGCTGTTCCCAATGTTGTGACCTGTTTATTGGCATATTCCATCATATTCTTATAAGCAACTGAATGTTACCAACATTATTTATTTTTAACTCAAACTGTTTATACACACTCTGTTGCTGTGGCATGTTGCCCACTCCTGGCTGTTTCCATTATTTTTAAAACTTTTTCTAAGATTGTAGGTGACTGAAGGTGTTGAAGGATACACCAGTCCTTTGAATTCTCAGAATTGTAGGTGCATTTCCCAGCTGTATTTAAACAAATCTTACAAAATTGGACAGCAGTCAGTGACGTAAAGACCAAGGCACGCTGCCTACCTCGGTTTCATCTTTGGCTTTGAGACACATCTGTTGTTTCAAATATGTTTGGGCTCAGTAGTGGTTTCCCAGTTCTGGGGCTGGAGTGTTTCACAAAGCAGGATTTCTCAGTTAGCTGGATAACTTTTACCCAAAGTGTAAATCCAATAGAAATGTCCCTCAGAAATGTGCCTCTTCTCTTATTGGACAGGCTAGACTTTGGGGTTAAGTTGTCTGGCTAAGTGAAAAATCATGTTTTTTTTCCACTCATCTCATCATGCTCTGCACATTTTAGTATTTTGTCTGTACCCGATGCACCTGGTTAATAATCATGTAGTTAAAAGGCTTCAAAAAGGGGTTTCTGGTAGGGGTGGGCAATATGACAGTATTTTGTCATTATTGTGATAAATGATTTTGCACTATGCATTTCTGAGTATATCATGGATATCGTCAGAACGTAAAGAACACTGACCAACTGCATGTGTCATTACAAAGAGTGCATAATTAGTCCTGTTTCAGTAGATTTTGTATAATCATCAAATTCCTTGCTTTGACAGTATTTCTGTGAATGTATCTCTGCTGGGGTTTGTTCTAACTCATCAAACTTGGCTGTTCCACTTTTCAAAAACATAATGTGTTTGTGAAAACATTTTCAAGTATCGTGATAATGTATTTTTGCCAAGTCGCCCACCCCTAGTTCACAACAGCTATACATTGGCCTTATCCTTGGAAGATCACAAGTTGGGTCATTGGCGATACCGCAGACATCTGTGGCTTATTATTTTTAAGGTGTCTGCATTCTTTACAGCTGAAATGCCAGATGGCATATTTTTGCCCCAGTTTTTAATCAGCCAGGGGATGTTTTTTTTTTTTTTTTCCAAAGACATAAGAAAAAGCTTTAGATGAAGAGCTCAGAGGAGCAACCAAACATTTTCACAGAAGTCATGGATTGCCCTACTAACATGGTTTTTATAGTCTGTAAAAGTATATCAGATGGATTCAAGCACATTTCTGGTTCATTTTGTTAGGAGTGTTAATGTACACATATTGTTATATTATAATCTTATTATTATTATTATTATTATTAGTAGAAGTAGTATTACAGGCAAGTTATAACAACTGCATTTACAGTACAGTCTGCATGTACATGGCCAGTAGAGGAGTGCAAGCAAGTGGCTTCTTCTAACATGTGAATAAATGTTTGTTTTTATTTACTAGGCTTTTCCTGTGATGGTTGGTGATATGGACAACACTGGCAGCCTCAACGCACAGATTATTCACCAAGTAACCAACAGAGTGCGCTCCAAACTAGCTTTCCAGGTAAAATACAAGTAGGATTAATGCCAATTTATATTCACTTTTGACTTGTGTATTTGGCTCTTGCTCATGCTTTTTTTCCCTTTCTAAACCAATACAGACACAACAGCAGAAGTTTGTGAACTGGCAAGGAGATGCTGAGTTTAGGGGAGAGGACTTCACAGCTACTGTAACTTTCGGCAACCCAGACGTAGTGGTGGGATCTGGTAAACCACTGTTTATATTTGTGTGTGTGTTTGTGAGTCTTTAAAGGATCCATCAGCAATTTATAGTTGTAATACGATTGCTCAAATGACATGTTGATTTTCCACAGGGAAGAAACTTAAATATTTTTAGCATTTTTCTGCTAATATAGTGCACAATTTATATTTATTTGCTAAGTTTAACATATTGGGGGGAAAATAATAAATACAATGTGCCACAAAGTTTTTTGATTATTATTTTTGTACAATATGTTAAATTCAGCAAATAAACAGTAATTGTGCATTAAAATGTGCAGAAGTGGGTTCCCTGTGGAAGATTTGTTAACTTTTGTCACTTTGAATATCAAATTAATTTGACCAGAGTCCTCCAAACTGTACAACTGTACATCTACATTTCAAGGAAAAGTTCAGCTTCTTTAGTTTTGTGCTGGAGCTTTGCATTTAAACCTTTTTTAAATGAATCCTTTTAGCTCATGTCTTCAAACTTACTGTTTGAAGTAGTTTCATTGAATAAATTTTGTGTATGGAGCACACTCTGATAAAGCTAAATTGATGGGTGTTTCTGAAAGATTCATTTTAAAGAATAAATGTGTGCTAACGATAGCATTTCGCTAGCTTGCTTGTCCTGCTTGTTATTAATTGTACTCCAGACATTAAAAGAGAATGCACGTTAAGAATTTGGAGGTTGGGTTTAGAGATGGTGTACGCTAAGCGTAATTTAACAGGCTATCCCCAGACATGTATTTTCGGTATGTGATCACGATAGGCTCCATGAGACTAGTGTAAAACTAAAGAAGCAAACTTTAGACACCAAGCATGTCTTGGCTGATCAGCTACACTGGGGGTTGGGGGGAAATTATTTATTTAGATTTTTTGCCAAACTATTCCTTCAAAGCTTAAGTAAGCTGGAATGTATACATTTTCTGTGTTTATTCACATTCACTCCATTGGTAAAAGCTAAAGTGAACAGCTGCAGTAAAAGCTATATATCTCTCTCTCAGGTATCGTTGTAGCTCACTACCTGCAGTCGATCACTCCGTCTTTGGCGTTAGGAGGAGAGCTGGTGTACCACCGAAGGCCAGGAGAAGAGGGCACAGTCATGTCTTTGGCAGGACGATACACAGGTAACTTTCTGAGTTAGACATTATTGGCTGATAGACATTAGTTGCTCAGCTGTCACAGATGGTTTGTTCTTGAAGTTCTGGAAAAAGATTGTATTCTTTTTTACTTTTTTTGTCCAGGCTCCAACTTTATTGCCACACTGACGTTAGGAGGTGCTGGTGCACATGCTTCATACTATCACAAAGCCAATGATCAGGTAAACGTCCTTTCTCTGCTGTGTGGTATAATCTGGAGACTCTGATCACTGTAAAAAATGATTATGATAATTTGTTAGCACACATTAAGAAGTGGACATACTAGAAGCATGAGCTCTGAAGTGAAAGATGACATAATGTTTGTGTACATTGTAGTGTCACGTTATGTTTTGTTGTTGTTTTTTTCTTAAAACTCTGACTCAGCATCCTAGACATGATGAATGTTGCTATAAAATACCTGTAGTTTTGAATAATGAAATTGATTTTTACCGATCATTTTATCTATCCAAAACTGCTGCATATTTCAGTCTGAGATGTAAACAAAGTCATTCAGAGTTATGTGATGTGAGATGGTGCATTATAGAGAAATGTACTGACTCAGATTTCTTTACAGTAGTGGTGATAGGAACCAGGAAGATGTCTACATCACACACACAGCCATTTTATGAACCTATGTGTGTGTTCTGAATTTTTATATGTAGCGTTGATGGTAAAACAGTGATAAATCTGAAAAAAATATTTTTTTTTTTTCACAACGGCTTGCATGTACCTCTCCACCATTAATGTACTTAGAAAAAAAGTGTCTTTTAGGGCCAAAACCTCCTCTCAGATCTATCATAAAACTATGTCTCAAGCATCAGCTGGCATGTTCTTAACCATTTTGTCTAATAGCTTTTCTGTGAGGGAGGTTTTAGAGGCATTAAACTCTGCAGATGTCTGGTTCCTATCACCACCAGTGTGAACATTGTTTAAGACATCAGGCTCCTTGTAAGTTTATATCTGGTGTAGACAGCATTTTGCAGTATTCTCTCTTTGGTGCTCTGTAGTTGCAGATTGGTGTAGAGTTTGAGGCCAGCGCTCGCATGCAGGACACGAGCGTTTCGTTTGGCTACCAGCTGGACGTCCCCAAAGCCAATCTCCTATTTAAAGGTTTGGCCAGTACAGATTCACATATACACATACAATAAAAACTTTTAGTGAAAGTATGTTGTGTTTTCTGCAGATATTTAAAATGACTTTTCATGGAATCCTTTCATTTTTTTCCTGTTTTTCTCTCTTTTTCCTCCAGGTTCTATAGACAGTAACTGGGTAGTAGGAGCCACACTAGAAAAAAAGCTGCTGCCTCTACCCCTGTCTCTAGCACTTTGTTCTTTCCTCAACCATCGTAAAAACAAGTTCCAATGTGGATTTGGTGTGACTATTGGTTGAGCCAGGCCAGCTCAACGCCATATAGACACTCACAGATCAAGCGGTCAGAGAAGTACAAAATCTCCACATCCATGTTTTGATAGGAATGTATATTAGTCCCTGTTTAATCAGAAATTGAAGTGTTTCAAGGTTTAACGGCCGTATGTTTGTTAGTGAAAGTATTTTACCTTACTCCTGCAATGTAAATCTTAGCTAAAATGGCCATTAAAAAAGTGTACATTATGTAAAAACATATGTAAATCAACATATTGTTTAAGAAATGTGAGAAAATATGAGTGAACAGCTTCTGAAAACATGTGGAAACCATGGAGAGTCTCTGACACAATCATCAAGAATCGATCCGGTTGCATTGCTTTGGTAGTTTGTGTAATTCTTATCGCTTTTGTTTGTTCTTTTTGATATGGGTTTTTCTTTTTTTCAAACTCAAGTTTCTTTTTTTAATCTGTGATCTTTCAGAAAATGTTTTGATTTAAATTAAAGTTTTATTTTTTTGTTGTTAGCTCCTTATCAGTTTTCTGTCCTTTTTTCATGGATTTCATTTTCTTTATACTTCTGTATTAAGTATTAAATCATATAAATATGTAAACTGTACGCCTCAGAGAAAATAAATACAGTTTCCTATATAAAACAGTTAGGCGTCATTTACTGTGTTTACTTTTGTGTGTGATTGAGAGTAAGTGAGCTGCTGCACTGAATAGCCCATTAAAACTTTTTTCTATAATTAAAGGGTTAAAAACTACACAGCATGACATTTAGAAGTGACATTTAAGATTCTCTGTCTTTTGGCCTTCCTGTGAGGAACACTGTATTGAAACCCTACAAACTGTACATTCTTGTATGTGCTACAATGTACGTGAGAGATAATGGAGAAGAATCCTCTTATGAAAGAGGCCTAGAGGAGCCTTTATCTAACTGTGTGAGAGAATAATGACATCCCATAGACCTTTTTGCATCTCCCTGATTCTACAGCTACAGATAGCTGACTTGCCTGTGAAGCACATTCCTATTTCTGAGCACATTATCTACAAGGTTGAAGTCTCTTGTTGAGTAGATGTACTATATTGCCAAAAGTATTTGCTTGTCTGCCCTCACACGCATATGATCTTGAGTGACATCCCATTCTTAATCCATAGGGTTTAATATGATGTCGGCCCACCCTTTGCAGCTATGACAGCTTCAACTCTTCTGGGAAGGCTTTCCACAAGGTTTAGGAGTGTGTTTATGGGAATTTTTGACCATTCTTCCAGAAGCGTATTTGTGAGGTCAGACACTGATGTTGGATGAGAAGGCCTGGCTCGCAGTCTCCACTCTAATTCGTCCCAAAGGTGTTCTGTTCGGTTGAGGTCAGGACTCTGTGCAGGCCAGTCAAGTTCTTCCACACCAAACTCGCTCATCCATGTCTTTATGGACCTTGCTTTGTGCACTGGTGCGCAGTCATGTTGGAACAGGAAGGGGCCGTTCCCAAACTGTTCCCACAAAGTTGGGAGCATGAAATTGTCCAAAATCTCTTGGTGCTGAAGCATTAAGAGTTCCTTTCACTGGAACTAAGGGGCCATCATTTCCTTAAAGCCCAAATAAATGATAATGAATAACCACCAGAAAAAGTGGTTGCCAAATATGTAAAGATCTGGTGGTTAAACTAGTGGTTTAGTGGTGGGTCAGTTCTGAAAGTGGTGGTTTAAAAGTAGTGGCCCGCTAACAGCTATAACAAACAGCTGTATTATTAAATACTGCATTATAATACTTATCATTGTATTGTGGTTTTTATTATTGTTATGTTTGTTTTATTAATGTTATGTTTAATAGCACTGTTTAAGTGTAGTAAGTGTCATATTTCTATTCAGGAGGAATACATTAATAGGATAAAAACACATATATGGGTTCAGGCAATGACCTCTGGCCCACTTCTGGGCCGTCATGCTAGATGTGGCCCAGATTTGGGCCAATTCAACATTGCAATCTGGGTTTTTTATCAAAGAGACAGAGAGATTTATTCTTTTCAGCTTCTCATTTATTTGTTAATACAGAACCTACATGGAACAATAAAATACAATATTGTGCTACAGTGATTAGTGGTCATAATGAACCTTGTAAACATTTGACAAGCTGAGTCCTTCGGATGCAAGAGTCAGACTCTGTTTATCAGGAGACATCTGATTACTGGCTGCTCTTTGCAAAAGACTCCCAGAGAGCGGTCAGTTGGGCCTTCAGGTCCTGGGCATAGGGGTCCAGTTTCTTCTGCACTTCCTGGGCATTTTGGGCCAGCTGTTCCTGGAGGTTTTCAGCCAATGGGATCATGGTCTTCTGGAAGTCCTGCAGGTGCTGTTCCAGTTTCTGCCTCAGCTCCTCAGTCTGGGGTCCAAGCTGGGCCTGCAGGTCCTTCATGCTCTTCTCCAGATTGGCCCTCAGCTCCTCACTCTTCTGGAGCAGAGTGGCTTTCAGAGTCTCGGCGTCCATTTCTGCGTAGGGGGCCACTTCTGTCTTCAGCTGCTCCACCTGCTGCTGGACATTTGTCATCAGCTCCTGAACGTAGGGCTCCAGCTGGGACTTCACAGAGCTCAGGTCCTGCTGCAGGCGCATCTTCAGCTGCTCAGCCTCCTGGAAAGCCCTGGTCAGCATCTCCTGAGTCAGAGGAGTCATCTGACTACGAAGAACCACAGCATACTGGTTGATGGCATCTGCGCTCTCGGAGATTCTGGCACTGAACAGAAAGAAGTGCAACAATGGAAAAATTTATATTCTTTGGTGTTAATAAAAATGGTTTTACAACAGTTAGTTTCATGATTTGTTGAAGATGGTCTTCAACAACAGCTGCTTTACTCTAAGCTGCTGGAACTGCTTTTTTTGGCGGAAGAAATTGCCACCACTAGAATACAAAGCCAATCAATTGGCTAATCAAGTCATTTGATATTTGACTTTAGTTCTTATTGTTAGCCACTCACTTGACTTCCTGTCCCATCTCAGACTCTCTGATCTTCTGCAGGATGTCTTCAGTTGTTTGAGTTGCCTTTGCAACGTAATCCCAGAAAGCGTCCTTCACCAGCTCCATACTGGGCCTGGCCTGGTCGTGCCACATCAGCACGTTGGCATTGCAACCTATTGACATGGAAAATCCAAGATAATTTTATACAATTGAAAACCTGATTCTGTTTCTCGTATCTCTAGGATTTTTCTCAACTTAGTAACTAAAAGTTAAAAAAAAAAGAAACACTCACCAGCAAAAGCAACAACGGCAAGAACTACAAGGACCTTCATGTTTGTGTGTTTCAGGAACTCTGAAAGACCAAAGACAAAACAAACATGGTTTTTAAACATGGTTTCACCAAAAGATAGTTATAGATGTTTTATTCACTATTTTTGAGAACTTTTGTGAAAAAGACATAACAAAATTATAAAGAATATACTGTAACTATCTATGTACATTCATCTTTGTAGAGTTATCTGCCTTGAGATTTGATATTCACTTTTGAAATATGATGAACTAGGCATATTATTATAATTTAATTGTCAGTGCTGTATAGCTTTCTCAGTCATCACATCTCTATTATAGGGGTGGGCAATACAATATTTTATGTAAAAAAATAAAAAAATATATTTTTTAAATACGTTATTGTGATAAACAATATGCTTCTCTCAGCATATGGTGGATATCGTCAGTAGGACAAGGAGAGCATAACTGGTCCTGTTCAGTTAGATTTCATGCAGTACATCATGCAAAATGGTATTGCATTCTTAATTTGTGATAGTAGTTTTTAAATGTGACACTAAAAGCACATTTAGTCTGTGTCAAAATATTGTGATACTGTGGTATTGTGAAAAAGTCCATCTCTACACATCATTCTGGACACATCTAACATTTCTTCATTTTCAAGCTTCCTAGTATACCGAAATTGTACAGGACTAGCACATTAGAATCATGGTAAACACTTCAAAAATCTCCAAACAAACTGGCTTAATATTATTAAAAAACTGACACTGACAAACGTTTGAATGAAGGTGTAAAGGTAGCTTCTTACCTCTTAGGTGTTTCTTGTTCCCTTGTATGTCCCAGGGTGAGTGTGTACTGAGCAGGTACTGGTGCTCTATATATATGGACTGCAGGGCTGTGATGAAGAAGACAAAGTCCAGAACTCATCTCCCTGCTGTCACCACTACCGTATCTTTTAGTCATGCCACATCACACACTCCAACTCAGCTAAAGTGAAATCTCCTGTGTGAGCTCTGTAAACACATTCATACAGATAGGACTCAGCACAACTGATAATAAACATCACTTCTGAAAGTCCACATCACTGGAGCAGTCTGGTCAATAGGTTGGATTTCATTTTCAGTTCAGAAGCTCTTTATTTTACACTGTGGGTAACTGCATGGCATTCATCACGTAGATGTAGGTATTAAAAGTAATTACATTCACACATGGTGTAGGAACATATCATCGCTGAACAAAATGTTGTATCTCCAAAAAGTAACTTTACAGGAGAAGGACAGTAAAATGTAATGATGTATGATGTGATCCAAAAAACCTCGTAGGGTGACCATATTTAAAGTGAGTTTTTTTTTTCTCCTGACTACTGCAGCTTATTTAAATTTTAACAAAAAAAACCCTTACATAGTGCAGCTTTAGGTCAGACATTAAGGCATCATGTAAGCTCACTTCTTTCCTGAAATTTAGTCTGATATGGACCCCTTTTTAGTCTCTGATATGGACTCCTGTTGTCATTACTGGCTGGGATTGAATGGGTTTAGTTCAGAAAATCACAACAGAAAAATGTATAAAGTAAAATAACACAACAGAAAACAAAACAAGTAAAATGTCTACAGTCACGTTTCTACTTAAAGTAGAATCTTTAAGCTTATAATAAAAATATTCATTCAACTACTTAAAGTAGAATTTCACTGATTTTTTTAAATGTCTGCATAATCCAGTGGTTGAGATGTAAACAAAATCATTCAGAGTCATTTAATATAAACTAACTTTAGGGAGACTTGCTAGCTAAGATTTGTTTACAGTGGTGGTGATGGGAACCAGAGGTCAGGATGTCTACAATGCAAATATAGTCATTTTATTAACTATCCAAAACCACCAGTGAACCTACAGACGTCTTGTGAGGTTTTATATGTGATGGTAATTATGGACATATAGTGGTAACTCTGAAAAATGCATTTTCTTTGGGCACTATTTTGCCTTACAGCATCCTGCATGTGCCTCTCCACCATGACTGGATATTAAAAAATATATTTTAAGCCAAAATCTTACCTCCAAGCTATTGTAAAACAATGTTTCAGTATTTGCAACCATATTTCATGTAATAACTTTCTGTAAAGGAGCTTTTAAAGGCATTAAATTCTTCAGACGTCTGGTTCCAATCACCACCACTGTGAACAATTCTGACTGAGTAAATTTCTCTAGAATGGAGCCTTTCACATCAAACCACTCCGACTGACTTTGTTTACATTTTAAACAGAAATAAAAAAAAAAATTGGTGTAATTCCCCTTTAGTATTATATAACTGCTGCATATTATTCAGTAAGTTCTATGAAACTAAGTTATGTAGTTGTGAGAGTAAGGAATTGAAATGTGGTCCCACATACAGGCTTCAGCAGTTGATTAATGTGAAGCGGGGTCTCTAAATAGAAAAGACATTGTCATTTATCATTTGGCTGGAGAACGCTATCCAAGGTTTACCTTGAAAACAGTATACATTACGTGACTAAAACTGAGTTCTGTTGCATTGCTTGAACTGATTGAGCTTGAAACCTCTTGATCAATATCAGAACTGAGACCGGAGGTACCAGCGCTCCGCCATATGCTATGTAAAGATAAAGAAGAGCTAAGGTCAGTCTATACATTTGTATGTTAATTGTATGCTTATCAGTGATGAGTTCAGTGCACGGAATGCTTAGCTCACTGGGATGAAGGATCTCAAATGATAAGCAGGTTATATATCACCCTGTGCAGGGGGGTTCGTCTTAAACAGAATTTTATCCCCTCCTGTACAAGTTTAATTTGGGTCATGGTGAGTTTGTATAGAGTTTCTTAGGAAACTGTGGGGTCAACATGACATTAAATACAATGAGGACCAAAGTCTGAAGGCACTAGTGCAAATGCTTCTATTTTGCAATCCTTTGTAATTTAAAAAAAATGTTGCATTACGAATTATATTATCAGGCATAGCAATCTGTGCTATGCTGATTCATGTCATGTTGTGTGTGGGTGTGTGTGTTTGTCCCCCTTTTGCTTTAACGGCAGTGTGCCCTCGAGCTGGCACGGACTCTGATCACTAACATTGACGAGAGCTTCTGCTGAGTAGATCAAACCTGTGAGTCGTTTGAACTCCTTTTCGTACAAAAGCCTTAACATCGTCAGAGTCACAAATTTGCTTGCATTTGAGTAGCGACCTAAAGATAGTGCTGAATTGTGAACATTTCACCTTCATTTTGTCAGAACTTTTCTACATTGTAATTTTTTCAAAATCCTGAAATGTTCTGCTGTTTATTTCCAGGTTGAAATGAGAACAATCCCAGATTTTCAATGTGGTCTCAGACTGATGGACTGACAGATTTCATGCAATGTTTTTGTGTCAAAGATGAACATTAAAAAAACAGAACAAAACAAAAACCCCACTTTGAGCATTTTCACATATCCCAGGATACAGATCTGTGGAACTCACTGTCAATGCGAATCAAATTTATTACAGTGCTCTGCTTCCAGTTTTCTATCTGCTGTTTTAAACAGGAATTCCCCCCATTTGTCAAACATTTCTGTGTAATTAAATTCTTAAGATGTAAACAAAGTCGTTCAGGGTGATTTGATGTGAAATGTGTATCTCTAGACAAACTCGTCAAGTCAGAACTGTTCACAGTGCTGGTGATAGGAACCAGACATCCTCCCTCTAAAAGCTCCCACTTTGGAGAAAAGCTTTTGGCCTGAAATCTTTTACATACATTAATGAGATCAACAATGCATTCTAAGGCAAAACAGACCCCAAATAAACTGTTTTTATTTTCAGATTTCCCACTGTTTTACCATTATCAACATTACACATTAAAATCAGAAGATGTGTAGGTTCACTGGAATTGGATAGTAAATCAAATGCCTTTATTTTTGTTGTACAGTGTAAAAAAATAAGTCTCTACAATGAACCATTTCACATCAAACCACTCTGAATGACGTTGTGTACATTCCAATGATTACATTATGCAGAAATGTAAAAATCTGTGAATTACACTTGAAAGACTGAAACAAACTGAAACAGCTTTATTAGACAATTTTTACTTTTACCCCAAACATAGTCTATCAGCCAAGACATGTTTGGTGTCTGAAGTTTGCTTTAGTTTTGCACTGGAGCTAATATAATAGAAGTATATGTCACAGAAAAAGATTTTGGACTTCACACAATATAGTAGATTTGGGCTGATACATTCCATTCTGTTGAAATCCCATTGCTAAACCACTGTTGCTGATTATTTCAGATTAGCTGATGAATCAAATAATGATACTGATGACCGATGATTTAGAGTCTATTTCAGTTGACTTTAGTTAGGTTGGAGTGTGTGATGTGGCATGAGTTACAGCACAGTGGTGACAGCAGGGTAATGAGTTTTGTACTTTGACTCCTTCATCAGAGCTCTGTGGTCTGTATATATAAAGACCTGATGCCTACTGAACACATACTCACACTCACAGAGACAAACGGGAGACATTGATGTAAGTAACTGGATAATTCTGTTTTTCTGAAGTAGAAAAATAAATGTACAGTATGTGCAAATGTAGAAGCATTATATGTAAGTATGTAATTATAAGCAGTGTTGTCATAAATCATGTTTTACTTTGTTTTTCTTTTCAGAGTTCTCAGACATCCAGCCATGAAGGTCCTTTTAGTTCTTGCTATTGCTGTTTTCACTGGTGAGTATGTTTATATTGTTCATGATTGATCTAAATTGAAAAAAGAAATCAATGTCAAAACATGCTCACAATAAAACATCACTGAAATCTGTTTTTTAATGCCACAAGGTTGCCATGCCAAGTCTATGTGGCAGGACCAGGCCAAGCCCAGTATGGACATGGTGAAGGATGCTTTCTGGGACTATGTTTCAAAAGCAACTCTAACAACTGATGACATACTTCAGAAAATCAGAGAGTCTGAAATGGGACAGGAAGTCAAGTGAGTGACAAAATATGACAACAGAAATCATATTAAAAATGTCTTACTCAGATATTCATATGCATACAGTACCAGCCTGCTAGAAAAACCAGCATAGGCCAGCAGTAATGTAAGTTATTATGCTGGTCACCAGCAAAACCAGCCTATACTGTGTGTGGATGCTGGTTTGCTGGTCAACTAGCATGGACATGCTAGGTGAGCCACTAAACCAGCACCAAACTAGACCAATGCATGCTGGTCTGTGCTTTTTTTTTCATCAGGGCAGTCATTTTCAATTAGCCTTCGCACAGTGGTCATTTTATTTGCTATGGAGAAGTCATACTCAGTGAGTTGAACTACTGATACAAATGCCTTTTGGATTCAGACTCAATAGGTCAAACTTTCTTGCAACATTAGCACTGTTGTTAAAAGATTTAGCTAGACAAGCACTTTCAACTGACCAACACAATGACCACCTAGCTAGATTTACATTATGCACTTTGCTCACCTTTCAGACCACCACAGCTCATCAAACCAATACCAGATTGTCATATCTTTCTAATCAAAATGCTTCATTCTAACATTAAAACTGCAAGCCAAGGCATTAATTTCTGATCTGTCAACTTTAGCACTATTACCAGCCATAGTTTCCAAACCCTAACTGCTATTTAGCCAGCTAACCTAGCTGACTCTGAATGCATTGTTTTAAGTACACCAGGTCTTACCTTCAGCTTCTTGCAAATAACCCTAAATTCAGCCTGTTTGTTTTAAGCATCTTTGAAGGCCTATTTGCCCTTTTTCAGTGCTTTCAAAGGTTAATAGTGTACACATATCAAATTTCACATACCAGCTGCTCACTGACTAACCACACTGTTCCCACCCCATGTGGGACACAATAGGCAAAATGTCTGCCGTATAATTAAGGTGCTTCTCTCTTTCTGTTCAGTG